ACCCCCACCCCAGGCATCCACCCCACAGCCGGAGTTTCCACCTCCGCCACCGCCACCCCTGCCAACGGCCGAACCCGTTACTCCACCACCATCGACTTTCCAACACAGCCCACCGCCACCACCCACCACACGTGGCAACACAGCGCCTGCCCCACCGCCCCCACACATCCCATCTCCCACACCACCTGTTCCCGACTCCTGGAACCCAACCGAGCAACATTGGGACTCCAACACCCTGCACGGCCACCAACTACATCGTACAATTCAACCCATCCAGTGGTCTCGAAAAGCAGGAGTGGCCGGCCTCCCCACCTTTGAGGTCTTCCCGTGGCAATTGGCTTACCACGGTACCTCCGAGTTCACCGCCCGTACCCTGAGCAACGGCAAATTCACAGGTTTCATTGCCACCAGAAGCATAGCGGAGTCGGTCTTCGTGACCCATTTTCTCCAACAACTCCGCGAGAACCGCCTTGACCTTGACGGCATCGCGGAGGCTCTCCACACTCAACAGAGCACAGACATTCCCAACAAAACTACCCATGCCCGAGCGTTTCACGCTCCCCTCATCAAACTGCTTATCGACCAACTGCAAACCCACTCTCCAGCACCTGCGGAAGGCTCCGCCCTACGCGCCCTCAAAACCACCAACGACGAACTGGCTCGTGCACGTCAGAAACTCCACGACCTGGGCAACCCACTCACACCAGTCAAGAACACCAGCCGATCCTCCGCACCAGCCGCCCCTTCTCACGCACCCACGCCACCCCCACCGAAACCACCAGCCATCACCGACGTCTTGCAACCACCACACCCCACGCTGCAAGACGATATCCCCGAAGGCTGGAACCACCCAGAGATCCAACAATGGGTCACTACCTTCGACCCCACCATCCAAGAAGCTGCCACGGAAGTCATCCGACTGCTGCAAACAAGCAAAGTCACCACGCAGCAGCTAAAAGAAGCAGCTACCAAGTATGGCCTACCCCTCAACCGGGTCAACCGACTCCCCATTCGCAGCCTACAACAGCTGGTGGGAGTCGGAGCAGCCATTGGCTGCTGACTCGCCATCTTGGCCCAGCAACAACCCCGCCACACCAACCTCACCCAACTCTTCCACCTGCACCGAGCACTGTCCCTGCTCATCCACCGCACCCAATACATCGACCGCGCCGAGGCCATCTTTGCAACCGGCCTCATCCACATCACCCTCCTTTTCGCATACCCGTCCAACACCCGTCGCTCACAACAATGGCGCAACCGCCAGCTCCACATTTTACCCCACACCTACCACTACCACAACTTCCTCTCTTCCAATTCCGTCTACATCAAGCTCCACTTCAATCCCGACCAGCCTCAACGCTACTACCATCAACATGGCCACTTCTACGTTGGCTCCACAGCTATCGGCATCCCCCACCGCGAACACAATCGCCGCGCCAAACTAAAACAACTCCAAAATAACATCCCCATTTCTGCAGAACTCTCCTTACGTTATTGGCATTCACACAACAACATCCACCACTACACCACTATTCAACTCACCTCCCACGACACATACGACCAAGCCTGGATCCAAGAGCACCACTACATCGCCAACTGGATGCCTTCACTCAACTGGCCTTTCATTTCCCACCACCTCAAACTCAAAGCTCAGGGATGGCAGTTCGCGAAACACAGAGCCCACTTCTACTCCAGATTAGCCACCCACAAACGACTTTTCCGACACTTCCACTAAGCATCACGCCCTCCAACTCCTTCGTAACCTCACCAAACACACCGCAGCCTCTTTTGAGGCAGCAAAACAGCTAAGAAGCGGCCGCCACACAGACCTCGAGGTGTATGCAATCCGGCGCATGGCCGCAAACTTGGAAGAACCTGGCCGCAGCCGAGCTCTTCACATCCTCAACAAAGCCTTGATCTACCGCAACCTCACGCCACCTAAACCCAACATCCCATTGACAGTGCCCTTCTTGGCCCATGACGACTTCACCAAGCACTGCCAACAATGGCTTCGTACTACCATCCAGCAGCACAAGCATTTCACCATCCCCCTCCACCTCCCCTCCCACAGACTGAGGGAAGCCGCCCACAAAACCCTCCGCTCCCACCTGCACAACCATCGCACATGGGAGGACACCCTCCACTCCCCACCAGATCCAGCAGACCTCCCCTGTGCATGCGATCACCTTCGCACCCTCCTGCAGGATCCAGATACCCCTACCATCAACGACCACTACATCCTTACACTTGACCAACTCCAACTCCCTACACACCTCAGCATTTTCCTCAACGCCAATATGAACAGTACCTATTATCCAAGCAAAGCTCGCTACTTCCTCCTTTTCAAGACGGCCTACACCAAATGGCTCAAACTACAAGGGCTTCCACCATCCCTAGCTCAACACCTACAGCCTTTCCTTGAGCACCAATGGCGCCTTCACAACACACATCTCAAGCAGCAACCCCGTTTTACCGCCCGCCTACTTCGTCAACTCCAAGAACATTTGGGTAAACACACATTACTCCACCATGCCGATCATGAGCTCCAACAACTGCGACTGTTTTGCCCTCGCCAATACTTCACTGGTGCCTTGAACACCTGGCAATCCCCCGAACTATTTGAACCACTTCCCTACATCACTGCCGCCAACATCCATGACCACCTGGACGCCACCGTCCCCCCCATCCTGCGCAACCGCTACAAGTGGGGCTTCCGAAAAGACTTCACCATCCCCTACGGTGTTGTCCACCTTAAAGAGTCAGCGGCAACTTGCTACGCATCACTAGCCGTGCCCTCGACATTATCCTCCAACACCTCTATCCTCAGCATCCAGGCCAAATGTCCATTCCTCAGCTTTGGCACCACTTTCACAGTTACCTCACCCAAACCCCACCCGACATCTCACTACACGCCACCAACGATGACCTGGTCGGCTTTTTCAACTCCGTTCCCCAGCAACGACTCATCGATGCGGTCCACTCCCTTGTTCTCCACTGGCAACAACAGCAATCCACACACACCTTAACGGTGGATGTCCAGGCCACCGGCAATCCCTTCCACCACTCCCACATTGGCAGACACCATCGCAAACACCCTACCCAACGCACCATCCAGACTTCCGACATCACCACCATTGTGGCTTTTGCCCTCGACACATGCATTTTCCGGGCTTGCAACAACACTTACAAACAAATCCGAGGGGCCGGGATTGGATCCCAGCTCTCTCCAGCCCTATGCAATGTCGCCATCACCCTCATTGAGCACTCCTGGCATCAGATACACAACAACCTACTTCAACACACAGACCTCCACTTTACTTACTACCGCTATGTCGACAACCGTTTCATTGTCCACAACGAACATTTCCTTCAACACCCGGCTATCCAAACCCTTATCCACCACAATTTCTTTGGCGACCCTGTGGAACTCGAACCGGTGGAGGATTTTCATCTCCTCGGTTTCAACATCGACCTCCCACAACGAACTATCACCTACATGCAACCTTCACAACCCTGGAAAATCGGGGATTCCACAACCGCCGGGAGCCAGCGCTTGGCTCTATCAGGCCTCCAATCACGACCCCACACCATTCGAAAATACACATTTCCACCCTCCAGCGCTGAAGCTGCTGCGGCTGAACTCGTGAACCTATGTGTCCAAAAAGGGGCATAACTCCCACGCCTGCCACCGGTTTTTGAAAAAAGCGCCGAATGCGGCGATCTGTGTGTGTCCAACCCTGGACAAAGGGTCCTTCACCACCACTCTTTCCACTTTACCCAGGCAGGGGGCTCACGGGTCTGTTCCTGGCGTGAGCCAACGAAGCTCCAGGTTCAGACTAGGATATCGAAAGAGGACGCTCTTTCGACGTACCTGCCACCGCAACTTTTGACCACGCTGTCTAATCTGCCTGGTTTGTTTCCATGGTTCTTCATGATACCTTCCCCCTAAACCATTTCCTCCCCAGCAGCGCTGCAGCTTGAGCCGCTTCGTCACCGCAGTCAAGGGAAACAACCTTTGTTCAAACACCTACAAGTTTTTTCGGACTTTTCACCTTGCGGTTCTTCACCTTCCTTCCCAGCGTGGTAACTGAGTTCACTGAATACAAATTATCGAAGTGTGAGTGTGAGAGTGAGAGTGAGAGTGTGAAAGTGAGAGTGAGTGTGAGTGTGTGTGAGTGTGAGAGTGAGAGTGAGAGTGTGAAAGTGAGAGTGAGAGTGAGTGTGAGAGTGAGAGTGAGAGTGTGAGTGTGAGTGTGAGAGTGTGTGTGTGAGTGAGTGAGTGAGTGAGAGTGAGTGTGAGTGTGAGTGTGAGTGTGAGTGAGTGTGAGTGTGAGTGTGAGTGTGAGTGGTGAGTGTGAGTGCGAGTGCACCGAGGTTCAGACTAGGCCATGGCGAGAGCAGGAAAAAGCGAGTTGAATCAAAGAGACGTGCCGGATTATATAGCTGCTTCAGCCTAGAAGAGGTGATCTTGTCCCTGCCTTGGAACGAAAATAGAACTGTGGAACACTGTTAATAAGCATCATTAGGCTGCCTGCCAATGCGGGCTCGAGCTGGTGGCCGGCGGCATGCCGAAGGCTGTAAATATTGCAAATGTAGGAAATGTTGAAATATATTGTATAATTGAAATATTTGATATATTGTCAATATCTGAAATGAAATAGTGTTCCAACATATGTGCAATATTTGCGATATTGGCAATTTGCGAGATTGGCAATATTGGCAATATTGATCAATATTGATAATACTGAAATTTTGGTAATGTCGGAAATATTTCAAACATATGCGCAGTATGGGAAATGTTTGATATATATATATATTTATATGATATGTTGTCAATACATATAGGTAGATCACAGGGGTGCCTCTTGCCATGTATATCTATATATATATATATATGCAAATAATGCAAAGCAGCATGGCAAACAAGCCAACCATCCTGAGCCTGAGCCATCCCTTCTGGAACCCCAACCACTGCCGCAGTGCCCTCCCGTTCCAGTGGCCCAGGCCAAGCCGAACTCCTGCGTGGCGGCAAATTCGAAGCTCACTTCCGCCATGCGCGGTGTCGCTAAGAGCCGCGGTTCCAAGGAGAAACCGTTGGAGGCCTTGGCTGAAGCTGAGGCTGAAGCTGAAACCGTTGGAATGGTGGAATGGCCAAGGAAAGCTGGAAAGGGGTCCTCACCGCCGCGTATCAAAAGATGCACCTCCAATTTCCCACCGCAGTTGTCCATAGTTCCGATGTCCGTTTGGGGCCCCAAGGAACGCCAAGTGGCTGTGGGCACGAAGATCTCCACACCGGGGCTCAAGGTTCCATTGAGGCCGCCCTCAGGGCCGGTCACGTACGCAAAGGCGTAGTAGTAGCGACCTTCGACCGGTCGACCGCCAGGTCGCTTGGTGAAGCGAAGATCTGGTCACTGCTACTTGTGAATTGACAAACTGGATCTGGTTGATGGCAGTAAGGCAAACATATCAAAAACGTCCGGACCTTTCTCCCTGAAACACGTGCTTCTTCTCCGATGCTCATCCAAGAATCGTTGCAAATCGGTCGAAGACCAGGTCTCCAGAGGTTCTTACGGGCACTCGTTGTTCGAACCCCAACCACTGGAACAGCCAGTCCACTGAATCTCGCTGGCTCCACAACAGGTCGCTCTTGAAAAAGGGATCTATTTGCAGGCTCCTGGATGGTCCTGGTGTTTGAAAAAGATACATTTAGGTGTATTCCAATTAAATGAGACCTTAGACCAGTCTACCCGTTGAGCCGTATTGAGCCAGGGTGTCTCCCTATTAAAACACATCCAATTGGCATCGGTGTTTTTTATGGAGCTCCCCCCCTTCCCTCCCTCCGGAGCCTCGCAGGAGCCCACAGTCCGAAAGCTGCACGGTGACCGCCTCTTTCAGGGCCGGTTCGATCCGTGTTGAGCGACGGGGAGTTGTTGTTTTTTCGCGTCTCTGACATGTTCACGTTTCACCCCGACTCTCTTCCCGACTCTCCTTTTCAAACTCGACACTCCAAAGCCGTACACCACAAGAGAACCCACGTGCTTCAGGCCACAGGTGGGCCGCCACAGGTGGGCCACTTACGTCGGACGGCCTGGGCAGTGATGGGGACTCCTTGCTGTTGGCAGTTGGGGCCTCCCACAGCATTCCAGCCGTTCCGCACCGTCTCGCCACTCACCTGATGCAGGGGTCAAGAACGCCAACTGGCTTGGTGAACGGAGGGGAAGGATGGAGAGGACGTTCCAAAGATTTCCAAAGTGGGTGGTCTAGAAGTGGCCTTTTGGATCCTTTTGGAAAGAATCATGATCATGTTTCTAAGATCCTAGATTTGAGCCTTGATGCTGCAAGTTGACTGGCTGACAACTACACTCCATTCATGTTAAAACCCACGCGTTTTTTCACTGCCTGGGGCCGATAGCGTGTGAGCAACATATAGAGCAGCCCATCACCAGCGCCCCGCAACATCAAGGTGGCACCGTTGGGCGAGGCAGGGCCCGTCTGCCGAGGATCCTCGCGGAACCTGAGAAGGCGGAATTTATGTCAAAAGCTTTCCACGTCCCTTCACTGTTCCTACCGTACTTCACCTTGGGAAACCCCTGCAAATCACCAAAATCACCCGAACACGAGAGGGGTTTCCTGGTTTTGACTGACCCGTGGTTTCTCACCTCCATGCGTCCAGGCCACCAGTTCGAGACGGTGGGGATGTTCTCCACGATGAGCACCGGGCTCTGGTCCGAGCTCTCGGTGACCGAGACGTTGGAACTATCAAAGAAGGAGGCGATCATGGGACCTGGCGTGGCTCCCTGTCGTGGCACCACGAGGCAAAACAGACACAGCGAAAACGGTCGACGTTCTCCAAGAATCCGGAGGACTCCCGGAATGTTTGTTTCAAGATGCATCCGGAATGCTGCATGCAACCTAACCAATCCAGATTCTGTGTGCAGTGCACGGATTTGAAAGCCATCCTTTTCACCCACTCACTCCTGCAAAGGAACGAAAACACTGGCAACGTGTTCGAAATGGACATTGCCACATCCAAAAGCAACTTCAGGCGCCCATTTCTTCGAAGAGAACATCAAAAAGGCGATCCACATCTATCCGCTATCCCAAACAACATGCCGCATGCTTCATGTCTCTCTGATGGATTCGCCTTGGACTCCAATCGGTTTGGACCCGCCTGAGAGCATCCCATCGCCCTCCACCGACGGCCAGGCTTCGATGTAGATGAACAGCCTGGGCGTCAGATCCATCGGGGCCCATGCGTTGAAGGCCCGCTTTTTGCTGCCCGAGGCAAGGATGAGACATGCAAATTGCTTTGAAGGAGGCACGAGGGTTGATTGTTGAACAAACATCCTGACATGCCGTGGATTGGTGGGAGGAGGTTCAAATCTCGATCATGTGTGTTTTAAAGAAATTCAAGATGCATCTCTTGGTCTTGCTTGTCCTTTCTGTCCTGCACAGTCAGCCAATGCATTTGCCAAGTGTCATGTAGGTCTTGCTATCCTCGAACTGGCAATTCGTGAAGTTCCACAGCTGAAGACTGGCATCCTCAGCATCCCATTGATGTCAAAAGCGGCGCAGGATGATGTTTTAGAGCGCACTTAAATGGGACGATTGGTCTGTGAGTGATTCTATGATTGTTTCCAAAGCTTCCACAGCCTCACCGCCCCTTCTTCGATTGCTGAGATAAAAAAGAAGGTTCCCCAATCTGCTTCAAGTCTCAATCGGCTCATCTTGGAAATAGCACTCTGGACCACCCAAGGCCCCTTGCAAGCTTCTGATTGACAAGGAAGTGACACCTGCAGGTGAAAAGTCAAAGTCCTTGCTTGGACTCATGTGCGTGGGACACCCTTTTCTTTCCACCCCTTTTGACCCCGCCTCTTTTCAGAAGCTTATTGTGTCCGTTCTCAAAACCTTCGTTTTTGACCGTATCCATTTCACCCCAAAATATTCAAGAGCAAGCAAAATAACTGCAAATTCTTTAGTTGGGTTTGGCTGGCTTGGTCTTGACCCTTAGAAGTCACCCAAAGCTCAAAAGTCATCAGAAACCGTCAAAAACCACGAGAAAGCCAGGAGAAGAGCCAAAGCCGACAAAACACGATAGCCACCACAAACCACCAGAGGCCATGGAAAAGAGCCGACATGGCCTGTTTCGCAGGTACGCTGAACCAGCCAAAAAGTTTTGAGTGCGGAGGAAGTCGGCTATGCTGGCACGCAGATTTCGTGGCGGGGTGGTCACCAGAACAAAACTGGGTAGGGGATCGAAAATAGTCGAATCAATAGGGTTCCCGACGGTGATTGATGCATGCCATTGAAACATGTCCAAGGCATCTAAGCATCTATAAGATTCTATAAGCATATCTAAGCAGTCTAAGCGTCAAGAGATCTTGTATCTTGATGCATGTGTTCATCATTTTTCATCTATATTCCATTGTTTTTCCATGCATTCTTCTTGTTCGTATTGGTTCCTGTTCCATCCATTTGTCCGCCTGAGCCGCCAATGGCGTCGACGGCCATCCCCCAGGCTCGGCCGGCGTCGGTGGCCTGGACGCAGCGCGGAGTGCGGGATGGTGGGAGGTGATCGGAGCAATGAAGATCATGAAGCATAAGAAACATGTTCTAGTGGTCCCCCTCCTTGTCTATCTATTTGATTCTATTTGAAGGTCTACATCAATCAGTTCGGCCCTTGATTATTGAGTCCCAATTGAGGGCGGTGTTGCATCAATTCCCGGAGAGATGCTGAGTCCTTCCGCCCACATCCTTCCACCCTTCCACGCCCGCCTGGAAGCGGACCGTCGCCCCGTCCAGGGTGGGCAACGTCACCAGCACCGGCGAGACGGCAAAGTTGTTGGATCGGATCACCTGTAGCGGTCGAACATCCGCAGCTGGGTTTGAGGTTCAGTGACCTGAACTAGGAGTCGTTTATGGGTACTGAACTGGGATAGTATATTGGGTTCTTCAACCTCTGTTGGTTTGGAATGCAGCTGTGTAGAACCAACAGCCACACACAACCGGAAGCAACAAAGCTATGCAACGCGTAGCGCAGCAGAAATCAGCGGAAGCTTTGGCACCCCCTTTCTGGTGATCTTGGGGGATCCCTGAAGGAGGAACTCAAAAGTCTCGCATTATGTATGGTCTTGAATGGATGTGTACGGCATCCATCAATGGGTATATTAGTATATTGTAATTAATGTAATTATATAATGGAGACTGCTACTACTCAATGAACGTATCACGTGATATCTCATTTGTCCCACTTCGACGTGTCACTTCGGACCAGCTATGACCTGCGATTGGCCCTGCCTTGACAAAGACCGTGCGCGACAAGGTCCCATCCGTGTTGTACCGGTGGTCCTCGACGTACACGTAGAGCGCGTAGATTTGGCCTCACTTTGCTCAGGATGAGGAGAAGTACGTGACGCATCCATCTATACACGGATGAAAAAAGACGACAACAACAGGTGGTCAAAGGCACAAAGTTCCAATGTCCTCGCATGTCCTGACTTTTTACACCTGTTCTGCAACAAGAATATCATGAACACTTTCTTGAAATGCGAGAACTTCCCAACAAGTTGCTCAGCAGTCAGTTCCCCAACACCCACCACAGGCCACTGGTGACTGTTGCCGCTTCTCTGCGCCTGGATCCAGCTGGCATCCGGTCAAAGAGTAGCTCTGCTGTGTGGCCTCGATGGTCGCCCCACTCACGCGACACGTGATCTGCCCCACGGCGCCCACGTTCGCCACCATCCGCGGCCTCCGCGGAGCGCGACGCGAAGCTGGCGAGCTATGCGTGCTGGCATGTCTGGTGACTTATGACTGTGCACGTGTTTCGAGCACTCACAACTGAAAGAAGATCAATGCCTGTTGCGAACCAGCTGGTTGATTTGATGTGAAACACCCTTCGGAATGGGACCTTGGATCCAAGCGTGTGAACGGGGGAACTGTGATCCAGTCCGTGTGCAGGTCCTCGACGAGCTCCCCCCCAAAACTATGGATGTGGTTCAAAAACCTTCTGATTTCATGATATTCAAATATCATTCTGTTTCATGCAGAAAAGACACAACAACAAACTTTAATAAGTATCAGTATCAGCATGCAAATGATATTATCAATACTTAAATGTCTGAAACACCATGCTGCATGCTTCCGACATTAAACGTCCACCTGGAAGGAGGCTCCACCAAGGACGCCGAGGGTGTGACCACCACCCAGGCACGGCCCCTCTTCCTCGGTGGACGAACAAACTGTTTGCGGCAAGCCTTCAGAGGCATTCAAGATATGTCAAAGCCATGAGAGGTGTATCCTGTGAAGTCAAAGCTGGTTGTGGAGCGATTCGTACCTTTGGGCTTAATCAATGAATCCCATCAATCAAACCTCCCACATTCAAATTCCATTTCCAGGCTCTCTTCAACTGCTGAGTGATAAATTAAACATTCCGTATTTTAAAAACACATATTTATATATCTAATTTACATGCTACATTACATATACTATCATATACTTCTCAAAGGCGGTACGTCGTTGTTCAAGAACCGACCCCTCCGACCAAGACCGTCACACGTCCGAGCGTCTTGGGGGTGAAGCGGAAGTCAATCTGATCGGTGGTGGGCACTGAAAGTAAGGCTGGCTCCACGGTGAAGCCATTGGATGCCTAGGGATGGAATCGACTTCAGTTCAAACTCTGTCTCAAATTACCCATGATCCGGCTCAATCAGTTCAAAATACTTCAAACAAATTTTAGTCTTTCTATATACCTTTTCATGTGTTTGTTTTCTCAGGGCCACCTGCACACCGAGGCGCTCCCACCGTGACGTTGAGAGGCGTGGACAAGGTCCCATCGAAATGCGCTTTGTGATCCTGCCCCGCCCACCAAGTGCCCCGAGCGGACTGGGACTGGGATAAGGGGTCGGTGTGATCTGAGTCCAACCAGGGGGGAGGCAATTGATGCTTTTTTCAGATGCGAAACATTCAGGATCAAAAGTAACCAGTGACCCCTCAATTATCTCAATTCAAGTATGCTGCCCGCGTCTCCAGGAGGTTCTGCGTTTGATTCATCAAAAGAACATCCTCTCAGTTAGTGCCCTGACTCGTAAACAAAACGAGCCTCGATGTAGATGTAGACCACGTAAGAGCTCAAGTAGACCAAGGGACAGTTGGGCATCGAGATCACCTGCCGCCCACTGTCTTTTTGGAGCATCAACTGATTCAACAGAGGCAAAGAACCGCGGAATCATAGGAACAAATGATGTCCCGCAAACTCCAAGGGCGACTTGATGCACCTTCTATGGTTGACAAGTCTTTCAATCGATTGATGTTCCATGTTTTCAAGGGGTTAATCATTCAATAGCTTCTTGTTACTTGTAGCGATCGCCTCCAACCTAATAGCGATGGCCTCCAACCTAGTAGCTTCTTGTTACTAGTAGCTAAGGGACCCACGACCTGTTAACCCGCCAATACTCCCGCCAATAAAATGGGTTCTTGCCCTGATTCCCAAATGTTCTGAACACGCATAGACTGTGTGGACAGTCTGCAGATTTTCCACCAGCCTGCAGGGACGCCGGCACAGACAGGCCATTCACCAGACAATTGGTCCGGTCAAAGACGTTTACCGCATCTTTGACGTTGGGGATGGTCACCTCAGGGGCACGGCGACCGTCAAGCACCCGGATGCTGCTTGCGTCCAGGTTGGGTATCAATCATCTAGGGGTCCTGTTCGTTTATTCAGTGTTAGCTTCTTGCTCCGTTCGTAGTGATGCCAGGAGCCCCTAGTAGCGTCATTGCTCCTAGTAGTACGGCCAGGAGCCCCTAGTAGCTTCTTGCTCCTAGTAGTAAGGCACTTGTTTCTAATAGCTTCTTGTTACTACTAGTAAGGCCAGGAGCCCCTAGTAGCGAACATTGTTTCTATTCATGTTTATTCACATAGTACAATTGGACGTCTGTCTCATCCACGCCTTCGCATTTCTCGCCACTTCGATACAAATCTGACCGAACCTGGGAACTGAGTAGAGTATATACTTAGTAACAAGTGCCTTACTAGTAGTAACAAGTGCATCGCTTCTAGTAACAAGTGCGTTACTAGTAGTAACAAGAAGCTACTAGGGGCTCCTGGCCTTAATAGTAGTAACAAGGTTAGTTAACTAAAGTGGTCAAACTGAGGTACGGGCACTATATAACTTGTCAGTTCAAACCCCCAAACCACTGAAGCCCTTTGCAGCCTTTGCAAGTGCCCCACTAAAAAGCACCAAATAAAGACATTCAGCTGCTTTCAGCTCAACTGTGCGTGTTTGCCTCTACACTTGAAATGTTATCCAAGGGAAGCTTGCAAACGTCATTGCATGATCGCAATCCTGTGAGTCCTTCGCCATTCGGCGAAGGACTTAGCCACAAACCTCTTGAGTCTGCTCGCTAGCGCTAGCAGCTAGCAGCTAGGAGCTGTGTCTTCTCTCCGAAAAAGATCCAACCAAGAACACCGGCCAGACTCTTGACCTCACCCGTGGAAAAAACCGTGGCAAAACACACCCAACACGGATCCACCGGGGCACCGTGGTGGCATCCGCGGACGCCTTGGTGGCCACGTAGATCCACACTTTGCCCGAGACCTTTGCCTCAGTCGGATCTGAAGGATCCCAAGGAGGATCGGTTGCTTTCATCATTCATCCGATGGAGGATCAAAGGCAATCCCAAACGTCACAGATTCCGCCTGAAAAAAGACACCAGGCTATACCAGGCTCATGCGGCATGCGGCTTGTGATCCGAAGGTGCTCTTACCAATCGACATCCCTGAAGATGGCGGTGTTGGGCGTCCACGACGTGGTGAAGCTGATGATTCTAGTGGTTTCTTCACCTGGTGTTCTCCAGTGCAACCGCAAACCGCACCAATCACAGGAGTTGACCAAATGCACCCAACAACCCCGATGAAGCTCTTTTGCATCCATTTGAGATGCCTTCAGGCTCTGTTGACCTGCTGATGTCGCCAGCATTTCTCCTTTGCAAAGCATCTCCTCCTCCACCACCGGGTTTCTCCCCCCTTTTCCGCCGCAGGCCACGCACGTGGCACCCCCCCCCATCACCTCCCCCGGCCTCGAAGGAAAGGCTGATCCCGGTGTCCCGCCCGGGGTCGCCCACCTTCGGAGGGGTGACCCACCTTCGGAGGTGGTGACCCCCCCCTATAGCCGCTGAGGGGAAGGTGAATTCCCTAGGAACTGACCGTGCAACCACGGGTTGTTGGACATAGAGGCTGTGTTGGACTGGCGATCTGAGGTGAAAACGATGTTGCGTCGGCGAAAAAAGAACTGTAGAACGAAATTACACAACACATCGAAACATCCAGTTGGGATCCACTTGGGGGTTTTGGTCGTAGCTCACTTTGTAGATTTGTGGACAAACAGTTAGAAAGGTACAGGGCAAAGAAACCATAAACTTTACCTATACAGTAACATGGTTGATATTCCCCTAGCTAGTTTGTTTGGGGGCAGCATGGAGCTTCTGGTACTTCTTGCTGGAGTTGATGCGCCAGGTGCCCTCGCAGCAATCCCTGGTGCTTATTGTGCAAGTCTTCCGCACGATCGGCGCAGTACTCAGGGAGTCATATCAGCGACGATTCACTTGCAAGCCCGTGGGTCTTCGGAAGCAATGGTCCAACATCAAACTCCAGATTTCCTTCCATCCCCATGAATGACCCTGTTCCACCTATCATCAACAAAGCCACCTGTAAAGGAGAAGAATGATCTTCCCAGTGGTCACTTGTTCCAAAAAAAAGAGCGCCAAGCCGTTGGCCACAAAGTGACACCGATTCTCATCCAGCTCCAAGAACCGAGCGGCCACCGTGGGCGGGATCACGAAGCCGTTGGACACCGGAACCTCGAAATAGATCGGATCCGACCACTTCCCGTCGTTCTGAACCGCTTGGTCCTCGGTGTAGAGGATCAACACGTACCTCACAGGACGAGACATCCGTACGAGGATCCGAAGCTCGGTGCGTGGGGGGTGCGTAGGGGTTTTCAGTTGAGTGGTTTGGAGGGAAAAGGAGCTCGGTGCGTCACCTGAAATCTTCAGCATCATGATGGAGAAATGCAAATCTTCACTGATGTATATGGATGTATGGATTCCTGTGAAGCTTGAAGGAGACATGTTGTGGGTATCAACCAGTGTGTATGGTCTACGGACACGTGGTGGTGACCAAAGGACACCTTGAGGGTCGTCTGAACATCTCCTGTAACAACATCATCTCAGATCATCTTTGATAATTACCCAAAGACCTGTCGGACCTGTGGTTATGTTCATCAGTTTTCAATCTGACAAATATGCATGACCCCTGGAAGGCGATTTTCTGCACAGCTCTGCGGTCCATGTGGTCATCAATCACCAGATCTCGTCGCCCTTTCCCAGCGAGGATGTCCCTCCATCCCTTTGAACATGGATGTCTTTCACTCATGGCAGCAGAGTCGTTTTCGTGTGAGCTTCTGCAAATGAGCTGCAACTTGGGTGTGGGAAGCAAGCTGCAACTGGACAAGGTCAAGGTGTAAGTGGCCTGGGCCAACGCGGGCGATCTGCTTGGCGAACCGCAGGGTCCCATGTTCCCACTAGTGGCAATCTTTAGCTTGAGGGAGAAAAACATCAGGCTATATCGGGCTATAGTCCTCACTTAAGCCATCTCAAGCCAGTGTGACCACCCGATTGAACACTCAAAAGGCTAATTATGGCAATCGAGTTTGTGAACTTAAGGGGCCTCCATACCCCTCATGTTCCAGCAAAATCTGCTTCAAGAAAAAATAAGAAAAGCATAGAAAAGCAATGTGAGAAGAAGGCATCTGAAGACATCCTCTGTCAAACAAGCATATCGCCATGACAAGCCAGATTGCCAAAATAACATGACCACGGTCTCCCTGAGGCTATTCCCCGAACAATATTTCAGTGGGTTAAAGATGTGTATATAATGATATGTAGACCGGTCCAAAATCACTCATGAACCTCCATCCACTCATCATGATATCTCAATGACAATCACTCCCATCAACATCCATCAACACTAGGATCCCTAATTCCTATAGGTTGGTTTATGTACCAGCAATTATAATTAGTCTTTATTTGGATGTGAACACTAGCAAACCACCTGGTCAACTCATATCAACTCTCTCTTGTCGGCCCCTCTCTCTTCCAAACCCTCTCCCTTTCTCCGCTCGGCGGCCGCATATATTGCTGGAGCGCCCATCTGTCGGCAGGGGAAGGGACCCCAGGCCTCACATCGTCCCGAATCCCTTCGGACTGGTGGCAGTTCTACAGTACTCCAACCGTCGAGTCAGATGCATCCACAGGAACAATCAAAGGTGAAGACCACTTCAAAAGCCGTTTTCTGAGTGGTGCCCCCGCCTCAAGAACCTCCGCTTCATCATCATGCTGCATTTTGTTGCAGAAGTCCAATCACTCAATATAAAACTATTATAGTATCAGTAGTGATCTTAACCCTAAACCCTATTGTTTCACACACCACTAAGTAGTGGTCCTTCCGCACGCCTTTTGCGGCTCCATCCACACCGCTCGCCTTGTCGGCCGACTTGATCGCCGAGATCGTGAAGTTCGTATCTGAGGGCCGCAGGGACCGCAGGGATACCATGAGAAGTGTGAGATGAGAAGTGGCTGGGCTGGTGAAGTGAAGTCAGGCCAGGCACCAAAAAATAAGAAGCGCTTTAAGCCCTTCTTCTACTATAGAACATTAATATATATATATATATTTATTTATTTATGGTCATATTCATGAGCAGGTTAGGCATTTCTGCCACTTGCAGCTGGTCAATGTCCAACAAAAGATTCTCCGCTGTCCCTGTCCCACCGGACCAACCTCAATCCCTCAGCCCCTCCCGCCTGCGGCATCCTGGACCACGGCCCACACCAGGCCTTGCGGCTTTGCCGTGGAGAAGGTCACCTGGGAGGCTTAGGGAACGATTATCCAGCGTGGGAGGTGAAGAAGCAGAACATGGCCATGGGATGGGTAGTCGCAGTGGAGATCGCTCATTGCTGGGTTCTTTTATTGATTTGGGAGTCGAAAAATGTCAAAAGTGTTTGTGATCCATTTCGCCAGGCCAACACCGGCACAAAAGTCATCAATGAAAGTGCCAACCAAGCCAAGGACAAACGTGAGGCCGAACTCCCCGAAATGCATCCCCTGCATCTGAAATACATCAGTCCACTAGTGGCCGAGATGGAAGAACAGGGAAAGCACAGCTAAGGCTCTCATTCCAAGATTGCTTAGTTTGTAGGGATCCCCAAGTGATTTTCGGGAATGTCCAGCAGTTGCATTTTCTCATTAGTTATGTATCTCTTCTTTTTTTTGGTTCTCCCTCTCCACTTCAACCAAGTTGCATCCATGCCCATGCCATGTGGGCCCTGGGAGATGTAAGGATGGCCATCAGGCCAGGCCCATTCGTTGGAGTACTGCGGCGCCACCAACACGCCATTGCTCACGCGGCCGTTGTCCCTGTGGTACTGGTTCCAGAAAGGAGATCGCGTCAACTGGGCGGAGAGGCGCCGAACAACGCGCGGTCCGCGAGCCAACCGTTGCCAACCCACCGGTTGGAGATGCAGAAAAAAAGGAGTGATAGCATCATCTGGTGGTTTCAGGGTTCTCTTTTTGAAACATGTTAAAACAAATCTGATCTGGTGTGAAGCAGCAATTTGCGGGAAGTGAAGACTTCGCCCCGAGCGCCCATCTTCACCCATGGGGCATGTATAGGACATTTATATACAAACAGGTTTGTGTAAACATAGCACATTTTTGTATCTATCACTTTACAAACATTTGTGGAAGAACACTCAAAGTTTATCAAACTGCCCAAGAATGTGTTTCAAGAATCGCAGTGTGACATGGCAAGGATCTTATTGATTCTTATGTCACATACAGTGGTGGGTTTCTATGTAGTCTTGGCTTTGTGTCGTCAAGCAACGGGGTGGATTGAACATACCATCTTGACATCATGACAGTGGCACTTGGGCACAGTCTTTCCTGTCACCTTTGAAGGACAAAAACCAAACGCTGTGCGGAGCGAATCACCATGCCCCATCCACTTCCCCACTTCGGTGTCCCCCCGTTTGCTGACCTAAAACCTCACCGAGATGCGGCGTCGGGATCCGCGGCCACATCCCAGTAGTCCTAGCCGTCCGAGGGGTCCGCGGCTCGGGCGAACGTTCGAGTGGTAGTCAGAGGAACTCTTAGAGTTCAAAGGGGTAGAGTCGGGTCGACTTCTTGTCAAAAAAGAAGTGGAGTTCTTTGTGCAATCCAAATCTCTCACCTCTTACCTCTCTGTCTCGTCTTGACCTCGTTACCTCCAGGTGCCTCCCCAATGACGTAGACGAAGAGCCGGTAGCGCGTCCCAGGGACCAGGCCGCAGTTCAGGAACTCCCACGTTTCATCTGCGCGCTTCGCTCGCAGAACTCGCCGGTCCCCGGCAACCGGCCGGTTCGGAACTCGCGAGCTGAGCCGGTTTGGCGGTGAGAAGACATGACCGGTTTGGTCAGTGAGGTGGTCAGTGAGGTGGTCAGTGAGGTTCGTTTTAAGGATCTCGAGCCCTCTCGATCTTCACACCTCTGATCATCTGGGTCGGTTTGTCCTTCAGATGTGTGGAGCTCGAGCCCTCCGAAGACAAGTAAATACACTCCCTGGAACTAACATGGAAGTGGATGACATGGTCCCTTGGAAGACCATTTTCCACTACCAACAGGTGGTTTTCCACTTCCATGTTAGTTCTAGGGAGAGTATACCGTATTGCCAGTCGGGTTGTCCTGCTGGGCCTCCTGCTCCTCATAGTCACTCACAGTCATACAGTCTCACGTGTCAGACTGGGTGCTTTCCAAGTGGCAATGGCTACAGTTGGACACGAGCGACTAGCGAAATGATGGCAACTCACTTGGACCGGTTTTGACGGGTTTGGAAGGAGGTTGAAGTCATCTGCCCAATGCAATGAGCTGCCATATTGAGTCAACATGATGACTTCTTGTTTGCTAGAAAGTAGAGAGCATAGTCTTCCAACTTGGTTTTTGTATCCACCCGTGTCGGTTGTAGAATTCCGATAAGGTCGATTTGTGCACACAGATCCGACAGCTTGGTGAACTCTTCTAACTGCCAATCTTTGTGGCTCCTCTCGTTTCTCCCACTCTGCAGACAAACATCATGCAAACTATTGATTAATAAAACGCCTCATTTGAAGTGGTTTTGAAATCCAAAAGAGGGGGTGTATTAATCATAGTTGAATCAAGAGCCTACATTGCTTTGCCGACGAAAAGCCAAAAATCTGAACATGACGAATCCAATGGCTCTCATAACTGCCGTGCTTTTATGCTTAAGGGAGATGATGTTGCCCTGGAGCCCATATCATCAGTCCAAGCGGCAATGAGGGATGGTATTCTTAGGATCATCCACAACACATCCTCCACAGCTCAATCCCCAAACATGTTCCCGTCCTCCACCCGACTCGTGAGCCCAAGAGTTCGGCAAGGTCGGCCTTGGCCCGCGGTGATGGGGATGGCCTGCTGGTAGCAAAGAGCTTCAGAGCCCACCATGTCAACGAAGAACATGATGTCCTCAGCTGTGACGGAGCTGTCAAAACCATTGATAGTTCTTTCAAGTCCTTTCAAGTCACCAGTTTGGAAGTGGATCCTTGGATGGAGTTGAGTGACCTTGAATCGATCACTTACTTTGACCCACCGGACAAGTGGTGACATAGCGTTGTCCCAAGTTCATCACATGATTCTCTCTCGTATTGGTTTGGACAACATGTCGACATAGACTGGAGGGTCCAACATTGTTCAGCTGCTCCGAAAAGATCCACCTGTTCCAATGGAGAGAGATCAGCCTATTCCGCACACATCGAGCCGTTTCGTCAGCGGAACTGGGCACGCAGCGGTTGGGCACGTCCAAGCAGCATAAATCTCGATGCTCTGCACATCCGCGTAGTTGCCATTGGAGTTGTTCACCTCTGGAGTTCGCAGGGTGTCGTCACAAACTCCTTGATGCTTCAGGAACCGCTAGTCATATCACATGGCGGGTTCCCCAACATGACACATCTAGCTGAACCCAGAGTCCATCTCTCCACCAGAACCTATGGAGCACGACAATCGGTTTTGGCATCGAAGCCATGAATCCGTGAATGATCCAGATCGCAAGATCGCAAGGCTATGTCTTGGCGAAGCAGCCCAGCAAGCACCGTCCGGTATGAAGGTAATCGACCGGCGCCGGCCCAAAGCTCCAAGAAGAAATGATATAAATGCCCCACAGTTCCCCACTATAGCTTTCCCATGCTTTCCCCCTTCTAGCCCTTGAGCGCGGTGTGGGTACTGGAGGTTGATTGTGTAATTAAAACTTACATCTCCAAAACCAAGAATTCCGCAGCTCCTTCCTTACTTCTGATCCCAACTTTGCACAGTGATGGTCTTGCGCATTCCCGGGTCAAACTTTGCCCGTCCCAGTCACGGGTGTCCGGTAGCTCCAGGAGGCTTCCGCCATGAGCCCCGCCCAGGCGTAACCAGTCCTTTGAGCGCCACAGAAGGGCATGACGAGGTCGCGAAGGGCATGACGAGGTTGCGAGGGTCAGAGTCAAAGACCTTCATGTTGGTCCCTTTTCTCAGTCGTTTTGGGGGCACCTGACCTGCGGGGGGGACGGTTTCATATTCTGGCATGGTTGATCGCTTGCCGAGTCATGCTGGTGGCAGTCTAGCAAAGATTACAAACACACAATGTACCAAAAAGACGTAGTCGTGTAAGTAAATCCAGTGATAGAGAAGAAAACACTGACACAAAGCATCCAGCATGATGCCACCCCCATCTTGCTCTTCCGACCAACTATCACCACTTAGCTTGAGCCGTGTTCATAAAGCTTTGACAACATCATATCATTGATATTTGGCAAGTTCCACAGAGCTGTTCTGATGGGAAGAGCTCACCATACTCAGCTCTTCATGCTCTTCACTCCGAAAGACCTTTCCACCGAAGCACTTGGCTGGACGGAAGGTGAACTTGCAGCCGCGGATGGTCACCGGCTCCAGAAGGTAAGGCCGGAAGGAGAACTCGTTCGTGACCTCCGCGGAACCTGCAGCTCGTGAGCCCGCCCCGTGGCGGGCACCAGAGTCTTGGATCGCCCCGTGGTTCTGGAACCAGATGCGAACTGAACCGATGGAAGAACAGGGACGAACTGAGGAACCGTTCCGTGCCTCATCGGATTGCAGGGCAGGACGGATGCCGGATGACGAAGCCATGATGAAATCAACTATGCGTCATCTGTCCAAACATCGCGACCAAATAGCACCCCTGGTTCCTTTTTCCTTCCTTTATCGGGGGCACTACACCAACCTAGTAGACGAGGGGTTTGTACCTGACATGAGACACTCCACTGATCACTCCTGACGCGAGGAAAACTGTGGTTTTGTAAGATCTAGCGCTCGCAGTTGAGGAGGACGCGGAGGAGGATGAGGAATTGATAAAATCTAACCTCACCTCACCTGACAGGTGGGGACACATAAGGCCTGTATTAATGACCAACAACAAGTTTCTGGGTCTCGGACATGGCAGTTCCAATGTGTGCGTGATATGAAAAATAAATTCATGTGAGTTCCCTTCGCACGAAAACCAACACCACAAAAGTGACAAAGAACATCAAAGAACCACATCAGCCACCTGCAGCTTTGATGCCGAAGAAAGACTCTTCTGCTATCAAACCAGTCCAATCACGGTCGACCCCAAAAAATGAAAACAACCAGCCTCGTCGAAACCGACGCGAAACCGACGCGAAGCAGTCTCCAAACGTTGGACGGACGGCCCGAACGACACGACCGGCCTGGCACGATGATGCCGACGGAGGACATGATCCCATCATCCGCGTCGTTGGTGTCCTGACGAGGTGGCCAACCGACCGGTCACCGGATGGAAACGACGTAAGAGATATGGAGGTTTGGCGATCGTTTGCTCCAGACGTTGATGTTTAGAAATCATAGAGGTGGGACATGAGAAAGAAAACTCAGGGTGGATCTTTGGTCTGCTTGCATGGAAACTTGATAAACCTTTATGTGGCATGATTGAAACATATTGAAACGCTTTACAGTCTTTGTGTTTGAGTGATCCGTTTCACTCCGCTTCAGCCACCGGGCTCTCCGCATGGATTCTCCCCCCGAATCCGTCTCTGGATCTCGTAGCGGCAGTGGCATTGAATCACACTTCAAGTCAGTAAGTCCAGTCGCAGGGAATTGGGTCTTCAAATCACCATATGGATCCCGGTGAAAGCTTAAAACTTGTTGCAGAATTCCAGACATGGTTTTCTCCAGTCCAGTTGGTCTAGACCAGACATGTAGAGAGACATGTCGATCTCAAACACAACCACTACAGTAAGATCCCGACATCATCACCATGAATATTCCTGACTAAGGCGTGGCAGGTTCACCGAGGGCAAAGGCACATCATCTTTTCCATGTCTTCCACCGATCACGCAAACCGCCGCAAACGTGCTTGAACCGCACGATTTGGTTGGAGTGATGCATGGGGAGAGTGGAACCCACGTGCCAGCGGCGTGCCTCCAGATAGACATATAACCTGTAGGTCTGTGGACCTCGCTCGAAGTAGCAAAAGAGGAACTCCTGGCACCACGACATCGGATTGGCCCAGTTGGCTCTCACGCCAGATTGTTACAATGAGGGGAGCAGCAGTTTGAAACATCCTTGACACCTTTCTGTCAACTTTCTTTGGGCAATTTACATAATCTGATGTACAATTTCTTCGAGGAAAGCATCGGAAGAAAATAGAATCCAAGCAAATCCTGCCCCCATCGAAAACACTCATGGAGAGACAGGTCGGTGAGGAATGATGAGTGGTCGACGTGACCACTCAGAGATCTTACAGTATCTTTTCATATCTTCTCCCAGCTCTCTCAAGTGCTCAGGCCTCTGCTCAGCACCAACAGTGCCCATCAGCCCAACGCCGCCGCATCCCTCTCCAAAACCCTCTGCCGCGTTTTTGCGCGTCGCCTGCGGTGCCCACACGATTCGAGCCTCATCGTTGACCAAGCCTCCAGTGACGTACTTCCGTTGGCGCTTACAGTCGGCCGCAGGCTGCCCGTACTGCCTCGGCCACTCTGCCACTCGACTGGCCGACTGGAGGTAACGGAGGAGGAGAGGTGCTACGCCACGCAAGCAAAGGCCCATCGTCATTTAGTTGCTGCAAAGCAACACCAAAACTAGCACTTCTAGAAGGAAATAAATACAAGCAAGACCACCACTGCGAGGTCACTACGCACCTACGCACTCTTCACACTCGTTCTTTTGGTCATCCGGGTCAGCGCTTTCCCTTGAGGTCTGGGCATGCTCTTGAGGTTCCAGATGTTCAAGACACCTTTCGTTGCTGCAGAAAATTCTACAATTCTACACTACACCATTCGTTGAGGCTCAGACGAACCGCACAAACACACAAACAGGGAACCACATAGGAACCACCAGTCTGACTGGTTGGTAGAGGAATATCTTCAACCCTAGCATATCGTGGCTCATCGGACGTAGCAGATGAGAAGACCCCCGTGGAGATTGTTTGCCACCCAAAATCAGAACGTCACGGAACCTTGAAAACTTCCTAGCAGGTTCTTGTCCCAAGAAACGATGGTGAGCTAGAACATGAAATTTGGACAAAGCAGGACGTCTGCTGCCCAATTGTAGTAAAATGTATGTGTTCGCAGTCTTCTCCCGAAATCTGCGAAATTGTTCGCCTCAGATAATATCCAATACGCAGGCACTGATTGGGACATAAGCAATACACTGTTCTTCAAGCATGAAATAGAAGAACTGCACCCTCTCACGAACAAAACCATGACTGCAAGATACTGCAAGTCAAACGAACACCAAGAAAGGAACATCCCGTTCTCTCACGGAGTCTATATGCTGGAAGCTAAAAGAAGCAGTTGGGTTCAAAGACTATAAAAAGAATGGTCTGTGGCAATATAGTGTCCTTTCCTTTCATCACCAGGCCGGTGCCCAGGCCATCTCAAAAGAGTGATCATTGAAAAAAGCAGCTGCTGGTAATGGGACACGTAGGTAGACTCTTCATGAATCAACGCCCTGCAAACATGGATTGTAAGGCCTCTTTAGGCTTGGGGGCAGCTTACACCGAGCGAGTCAGTAAGTCAGAAAGGTTGGAACAACATGACCGTGAACTCTGGCGCAGTTGCCACATCTTCTTCCAACCGGGCTCACGCAACTCTGCAGCCAGATGATCTCCGCCCTTCCCACCTTCAGTAGCGGAATCCCCCACCACGGCCCAGAAGTTGCCGTCCTGGCAAAGGAGCCAATAATTTGGAGGAAATGCGAAGGCGATCAACAGCAGTAATGAGTTCTATCGTATCAAGCACTGCAAAGTCCTTGCGAGCTGCGAGGTCATCTAGGCTGAATTTGCAAAGCCAAGTTCTTTGCCCCCACTCTGTGGAAGAAGAAGGAGACTAGCACACCTCCTACTGATACCCTTGGGCCGCAGCTGCGGTGCTCTTTCCGGCACCTCCCTTCGATCGCACCTCCAGACCGCGCCTTCTCTGGAACGAAGCTGAAGTAGAAGACGTTCGTGGTCATCGTCCCCCGAATCCGCGGCCTCGTCGAGCTGGCAGGCAAAGCACTCTCGGCTCCCGAGACGGAACACGGAACCGCCCGAACTCTCGGAGCTGGACCTTCCGGTCGGAAGCTTTCGCCCAGTGGCTCCTGTATGAAGGTGTTCGAGGAGTTGTACCAGACCAGCAAAGGGCCTGGCGTCACATGAGGCCTGGTGACGAGACCCCTGGCAAAGTGGGATGGGCTTTCAGGATGTACAATAGTTTGTGTTCGAAGGTGAAATTGTTGTTCAATGCGTAGCTTTTGTTCAATGGTCGCCTTCCTTCCAAGCTTTAAGCTTTCTAGATTTCCAGGAGAGATCTGATTAAACAGTCCATCCCGCCTAACAAACCCGGTGAGGCTAGTGGTCTCACTGTTTGCATAACATTTCCAGGCTCTGTTCTGAGTTGTTGGGACGGAAAATCCGTGTGGTTCCCACGAGCCATCACCTGGTTCTAAATAACATCAATGAGTTTGGATCCCTATGTATTTGTTCATGTCTAATTAATGACTTAGGTGAATCAAGGTCCCCACTGTTTTCAATACGATTTGAAGAGGACTTTCTTTCCTATCTCTTTGACGGCCCCCCTCATGAACCCAAACCTGCTCGCTCGCCCATTTCACCTGACATCACTCCATCTGGCTCCTCCGCGCGGAAAGGACCTTGGTTGAGGGGCCGCCGGTGCGGGGGTTTCTCCTCTCAGGACTTGGTCGCCGGATCTCCTCTCGCCAAGCATTTCTGTAGGTCTTCTCCTTGTTGAGTGGGTCCTATTTCTTGAGCTACACAGCTATTTTTTGACCAAGGGGTGCAATCAACTCTCAGGTGCAACAACAAACAACATCTGGTGCATCAGCATGGTGACAATCCCTGCAAGACCTCGTGTTCCAACCCTGACACACTGTCGGTTGGAGGATCCTTGAAAACCAATGATCCGTATCAAAGGCATGGATTGGGTCGAAAAAAAAAAAAAAGAAAACGTATGTTCCTGCGCCCTGCTCACATACCAACATGATGACACACACACACACACACAACACCATCCCACAAAACACGGAAAAGAAAACAAACAACACATCACAACAGGCAAGCGGCCTTCAGCATAGAAGAAGGCGTAGTACTCATAGGTCGCTATCAAAAGGCAATTCTCCACCTGAAATAATTTGCAATGTCAATCGTCCAGCATTTTGGATCAGCAAAAACATACAGCTGGGATGGGTCAAAGGTGGTGAGAAGTCTTTGAGATCATTGACAACCATGATCTAAGTGGAGTGTGCTCGGAGGTTCTCTTTGTCGCAGGAGAGGTGGCTGGCAAAATTGGTTTCTTTACCCACAACAATCAAACAAATAAGTCCGTAGACGTTCAAGGACTACTTTTTGGAAATCCCAGCCATAGGTGTCCTTTTTTATTAGTATAGAGATCAGTAGAGTAGTTTGGGGCAAACCATATCAAAATAAACACTAAGGGGGGTTGCCTTCGCTCTTCTTGGAGTGACCAACTGGTTGCATGATAGGGTCTCAAGTCTTTTAAACGAATTCTGTATCTGGAGCTCCGGTGCCTGATGGAGTCGGAGTGGATGGTTTACCCAGTTCACTCACACAATAACGGCACCATTGCTACAACCGGGGGCCAATGAGCAGGCTGGGCCAGCTGTTACCACTGGTGACAGCTGGTGAATGGTCGAACCATGTCCTGACCTGGGTCACCAGGTAGCACTCTTCCGGAACACCGACCTACTGTACTGTATTACCCAACAAACTGAAAAAATGAGCTCATCTGCAGCCCAGGAGCTCGGTAGCTTTGCACCGTCTCATTCACCTGAAGAGGGCTGGAAGGACCCGGCTGTTCGACGGCCTCTCACTGGAATCGGTCTCCTACTCGTGACCTGAAAGAAAAGCTGTCGTTAGAATTTGTGGCATCCACAAAGTGGGTGGGTCCAGGTAGGTGTTTTAAATGTGACATTGTTTGAAAGGAGATGATCCGCGGCAATCGACGGTCATTCGGATCGAGAGTAGTCAAACGACGCGTATCCTTTTTGTTGCATGCCAGAGTCAATAAAGATATGTACGCACCTTGTAGAATCGTTATGTTTCAGGAAACCCTTTCGGCTTCGGCTTCCTAAAAACAGATGCCCCAACGGCGGTTCACCCTGAAGTCTCTTGGAATCTGCAGCAGATTCTTTCACGTTCGAAGCACCAAAGCCCGCAATCATATGAATCAGTCCCTTGCATTGCTTTGGCATTGAAAATTAAGTGGATGTCCATTTCCTTTTGAGTTGAATTCTTTGGTTTTGCAATGGCTGGTTGTTCATGAAACCGGGTCTCCCAGTTTGGGGTGTCAGGACCCTCACGCAAGACCCCAAAATGAACAAACATCATACGCCTCGACAATCATTCTCGTGCCTCGACATCCAAGAGCTTGCAGTTCACAGTGTTCCCACTCAGCAAGCTGCCAGTCTTCACTGCCACTTCGTCCACCTCTGCAGTGTGGTTCGCCTAGGCGTGGAGCGACCACACTGGCGACCGATGAAGTGTTTCTTCCAAAATGCTTCGAAGTCCAAAAAATGCGTTCTCCAAAGTGCTTCTCTCCAGAGATGCCTGATGCCGTGGCCAAAAACCTTCAGTCTCCTCAGTGTCTCCACAGTCCCCTTTTCATCCTCAGATCAGTTTCTCTCCATAATTCCCATAGTGGCGCTGGTTTCGTTCGACCCTGAGAGAGATCACGGATCGTCACTGTTCCCTTGCTTACACAGGAAGCAGTTTTGTTCGGGTGCAGGTGTGGAATGGTGTGGACTGAAACATCCAAACTCTGCTTTAAAAGCACAATGAGGGGCAAATGATACGTATTATCATACATATTAGAGGAACATAATACAGTACAGCATGCAAAAAAAATAAACAGCATCATTTTATACCTTAAATGCCCTTTCCTGAACTTATCTCACAATATCTCATAATGGGAGACCAACCAATGGGTCTTCCTCAGCCAATGGGTTCAATGTTTGAACATGTTGAACAGAACCTCCCAACACATCCTCAGCACTGCTCCAGTGACGTGCACAACGATGATCCAAAGGAAGCCTGGCTTCACCTCGAGCCGGCGTCCGCAGGGTGGTCAAACGAACACGGTGAAATGACACGTCTCCAAGCGTCATGCCATCGAAGTCGATGTAACCGGAGTTGTGGGACGACCTTCATTCCATTCCGGGACTAAAAGGACTGAAGTTGCGATGACCCAAAGACTGTATACAAGAGTCTCAAAAGTACCTAGTAGTGGACGTCTTTGATCAATACTCCTAGGAAGCTGTATGCAATTGAGTCCTGATGAATTGGTTTTGCCGCATCCAGGTCCATGACCTTTTAACCCCGCTACATTCGATGGCCGTCACCGGCTCTCCCATTGAAACGGCACTCCCAAACGAATCCCCTCGAATTCCTGAAGAACAGATCCTCTACTCTACCAGGCCACGAGATCTTCCTCTCAAACGTCCACCTGACATCCGGATCAATCCAGGCCATCCTCCACCGGTTTCCGTCCTCCACTGGGGGCCCCTGACCGTGGACATCTCGAACTCCGCGTAGTAGGGCCGTGACGCCAGGGCCATAGGCTCCACGACAAAGGTGTTGGAGGCAGGTACAGGAACCTCCAAAGAAAGACTGTGGGTTTGAAGTCTGATGAAGTCTGATTGCTTGTGAAGGGCCTCCGGGTCTTCCGGGTCTCGCGTCCTCATTCAATAAACACCCACATTGAAGAGAATGGGTGAGCGGGTGAGTGGGTGGGTGGGTGGACTCTCGATTTCATGCCATACCCAATATATAACCCCCCAATGATCTCAATTTATACTATCAGCTTAAGCTTCACTAGCATCGCCTTCTCTGCCCAACTCCCTGAGTGAATTGTCACACGATGCGTTGCGCCTCCACAGGTGCTGACATGGCACCCGAGCGAGTCTTCTGTAGACCTGGTGGTTTTCCGTGCCGTGAACGACTCTGCTGCTCTGCCCAATAGGTGGAGGGTTCATGGAGAATCTCTAAAGTCCATACAGATGTTTACAGCAAGTTTGAATGTTCCTCTGGAGTGCAGGATGCCTTCTATGTTTGACCAGTGCTCATCCTGCATCAAGAGGTGTAGATGGTCACCCTGGATTGTCCTTTGATCTATGTCACAACCGGGCACCTCGGTCGTTCCCGCTGTCGAGCTTTTGAATGTTGACGGTTTTGACGTCCACAACAAGGGAAGATGGTCCCCCCTGCAAGCCCCCGAAAGCTCATCTTGATCTTCACCTCCCGGCTGCCCACCTTCGATGTAGATCAGGGCCCAGTAGCTGGTGCCTCAGAAAGCCCAGGTGAGCTGGTGAGCTGGTGCGAGCTGGTGAGCTGGTGCCATTCCGCGCTCCCCGAGTTTGGCACAGCCACGGTCTCAAGAGCACGGATCATCCAAACTAAAGAACTGACACTCCTCTGACGGGTTGCATTGCCCCCCCCAAGAGATCCCAACAAAAACGAACCAATTCAGCGCATGTTACCAGTGGTGAACCATGGACCGTGGGCGGTGCATATTTTTCGGAAGGGATGATTCCCAGACTTCCCCTGCAACGTTGAACTGGTTGAGGTGAAGCATTTTCTGAGTTTACCTCAGCTAGATTCATGACTCCTCAATGTCCTGACAAACAGGTTTCACGTGGCTTCTAGTTACCCATCATCCATGTTCCTTGAGTTACACTGCCGAACTTCTATTAGTAGTGGGAACATGATCATGACGATAAAACTATTAAAAACTGTGGTCAATAAACTGGAGTCCCCATCCCCTGCATCAGGGTTGTCCATCAATGCATCCAGTTCCCACATGATTTCCGTTCATTCCCATGTCTCTTCAGGGCGCTGTAGTTGAAGCCGCATCCAGTGAAGGTGATGTTCGTGAAATTCTCCGCCAGCACAGGGATTTGCGCTGGAGCGCAGGACTCGTTGCTGAAGGGATAGAACCTGCAGGAGAAGTCCCTCCCTTGTCAACCCAGCCATGGACTTGGGGGACCGATTTGGACCACTCATGGGGCAAGCTCATGGACCGCTCTGTGGCTTTTCCGAAAAACGCCGATCACACCGATGACCCCCGCCCCACAAATCACATCGAATTGGAGCCACATCTCTTGGGGTTCCCGAATTGCTCAGCTGATCGACGGATGGATGCCGGAAGTGACATCACTGCATAGGTGATGCGTCGAAAAAGAATGGAAAAGCCGACATGGCAAGCACTTCTTCTCGTTTCACAAGAACCTGCAGGGGTGAACCAAGTGCACAACCTTGGATGTGTTGCATCCAAGTCCAAGTGTGGGTGTACAATATGTATATAAATTAAAGTTATGTAAAACTATACAGCCGTGAGAAAAGTCTAGAAAACAACCGGTGCCAATTGATAGGCTCAGTAAGGACCCCAAAGAGACTTCCGGAGTGTTCACATCCCACCTATCACCTGGACATGAATTCTGATTGACACCCCTCCGCTTGGCCTGTCGAGAAAGCTTGGCGCATCCTGGTAGTACTGCAGAGCCTGAACAGCAGGGGTGAACTAGCGGAATTTTAGTATGTTTTAATATTCTTCGCGCTCAAGTCCACCAGTGGGTGCTGGCCACCAGACCGATTTTGATGAACCATCGCCAGAGTCTGAGGATAAGACGAGCAGCTTCGAAGCCCTATGACCAACACAGAAATCTGACTGCAAAGGGCAACGCAACAAAAACACCTCCCAAGCGAAAGCCCCCGAAACATTTCCGAAGTCTCCCTTCCCGCAATCTTCCACAACTCCTCATACTCCTCTCAAGCCTCCGCATAGTCCGTAAAGGTCGCGCCCCAGGCGAAGCCCTCGCGCGCGGCGACCAGGCTCAACTGGAAGGTCTCGGGCTCTGGAGGCGCCATGACCTGTGGCGAATCCTCGAAGTCGTTGCTGTCTTGCACCTCGATGTGACAAAAACGCTACTAGGGGCTCCTGGCCTTACCACTAGTAACAAGAAGCTACTAGGGGCTCCTGGCATCGCTACTAGGAGCAAGAAGCTACTAGGTTGGAGGCCAACGCGAGTAGGTTGGAAAAGTAGGTATCGCGATCTCTGATGAGGTGTGTGTGGGAGAAGTGATTCTGGTGGGTGCTTGACTCCTAAACATTTCCTAAACCAGGTGAAGAGCTACTGTGGAATGCTATCTGCTGAGAACAATATGTGGCAGGGTGACAGTCCAGGTAGGGAAAAGGACAGGTGCTCACTGATTCATATGGGTTTTGGGCAGGCGTTGAGGTAGAAGGGGGACAATCTGTGCCTTGAAAAACATGTTGTTATTTTATTTACATGGACAACGTCGAAGACCTTCAGAGGTCATTTTGCGTGTATTATCTTTAAAGGATCTTAAAGGATACTATTGAACTCCCATGTTGATCCCCAGACCCACCCTTTGAGCGTTCAGCATGATGGACTTGTCGCGATTTCGGGGGTACGAAGATGGTTCCTTGAATCATTTGCAGTTTTTCTGATTCAAGTCACAGCAACGAAGACTTTGGATTGAATTGTGTGGAATCATAGTTTGGGATAGTTTTGGAAGGATCTTTTCAATCGGTCCGGGTCGCACCCTAAGGGCCAGGGCACGTAAAAAGTCAATGGCCCTGCCAAAATGCCATCGTTGTTTCCGTTGAAATCCTGGGAAGGGCTGCAATGGATCAAAGGAACTGTAAAACCTGTTTTGTTCACTGATTGGACATTCGAGTACTTGCACACGCGAATGAGGTGTCAAAGTCCCTTGTTTGAACTTCCATACAATTTCCATACAATAAAACAAACACATGAAACCTGCTAGAATTGCTAAATCCCGCCAAACAGCATCAATCGCCTAACGACTTGCTGTGCATGAAGGAAAACATCGGGATGTTGGACCGGTGGGAAACAATGGAAACAATCAAGGAAAAAACATTTTCACTAGAATTTCCTTGCTTAACCATGTTTAACCAAAAACTCTGGTGCAAACTGAGTCCATGACAATGAGGACATGTGCACAAAAAAAATCACACACCAGAAAAGGTGTCTCCTCGATGTAAACGAAGAGGCTGTACAATCGATCCTGGCTGAGCTGACAATTCGTCATCAGAATCTCCTGGAACCGATCGATCGGTGATCTTCGAATGGACCGGACCGATCGGTCATGACCCTTCGGCAACGACGGACACCTTGGGACCTCTGGATGGGAGAATGACACGACTCAACTGTCGAGATTCTGCAAAGCCAGAACACAGAAATTGTGCATCATGGCCCAACAACTGAATAGATAGAGAGAAAAAGTGTTTGCACATCCATGGGACAGCTCGGACAGAGCTTAAGTTAACTATGCTAAGATTGTAACACACCTGAGTTGCTTGGACAAATTTTCCATGCTTGTCAGGCTGTGATCTAGGGAGCCCAGCGCTACAGCCTGGCTCCACTGGTTTGTACTTTGTGCGCTTCGCTCGCCTGCAAGCTGCCGGTAAGGGTCTCCGCGGAACGCTGGCAATCAGCCAAGCCCAAGGCACCGGTACCCAGCTTCAACGCCTCGGCACGGCCAGCCGAGGCCGGTGGATTTCCAGCTTGATCAGTTTTTGAAAAGCTTTACTCTTCCTACTGTATACAAGCAGACAAATAACTATGTATATATGTGGTTATACATTTCTATACGAGGGACCCCTTAGCATCCCTTAGCTTGGGGGTGATGGGGTAGCCCCACGCTGCCGCCTTTGCCCTGCATTTCCTCACAACCCTGATCTTTCCTTCCTCTCCTGTGATGGGTGGTGGGAGGCCCATGGAAACGATCCTATTGTGGACGAGAACCAACCGACCGTCAACTCCAATTCTTGAGATTGACAATACCAACCTGTAAGGAAACAAACCCATCGCAAAGTTGATCAAATCTAACCTTGATCAATTCCCTAATGGGGCCAAGCCACGCCGCTGAAAGCAGCTGGCACCAAGCCGGAATAAACAAACATGTGCTAAAGAAAAAAGCAAAAACACCCCAAGATTAGCAAATGCCAGACCCCACATTCCTGTCCCACAGCGAGGTGGGCTCCCAGCCCCTTCCTGGTCCCCCAAATAAGTTGTCCCACCCTTGCTCTAGACTGCAAGACCAAAAAATTAAGATTTACCCATTTCTATTTTAACCACAGGCCCTATCAGGTACCCTCTACCAAATCAATGGTCGCTGTGAGAGGAGAAGCGGAAGAGGAAGATCTAGGAGGGGGTTAGAGAACCTTAGCAGTCAAGCATTGTCTGTAGCATTTGCTTGCTCCAAGGACAAGTTGTCTTCACAACAAACCGTTCATCTGCAACAACCACACAACAGGCTTCCAACCAAACGTCTCGGCGCGCACGAAGTCGAATCAAATCCTCCGTGCGAACCTCAATCTCCAATGCAACGTTCTTCAACCAAGCAACCACCTCGGTCAAGTTCTGCTCGTCCAAGCCCTCTGTGACTGCAACTTGGGGTTCTTCCAACAACTGTGTCTGGCGTTCAACCGAACTCTCAACAATCTCGAATTCAAGGCAAACAGCAAATCCGCTCGAATGCACATCTGGATGTCCTGAACAGGTTCCGTCTGCTCCAGAGGATATTCTTCCTCCTCACCTTCTGCCAACTCAAACATTTTGCCTTTCTTTCCAGTCCCCTTTTTGCCTGGGCCAGAACCTTTGCCTTTCCCCTTCTGCTTACCTTTTCCGGGGCTGGTTTTCCCTTGAAGGATTTTTGCAGTTGCCCCAAATGTGACCATTCGTGGTACATGACGAGGTTTCGTGTTTCTTTCCACACCTCTTGCGTTTCACACCTGCTACAGCCTCTACCCAACCCTCATCAAATGCCTCTTCGTCAGCCAGTTCATCTGGTTGCAGTTCTCTCAACCTTCCCCCAATGGCTCCTAACTCATTGTAAAGTCTCTGTTGTCGTTCGTATTTTAGACCTGCCTGCTTAAGTGCAGTGAGACTATCATCATGAACGTGCAACAAAACGTACTGCCGTGCATCTGAAGGAAGATTACGTACAAGTATCATAGCTTGATCACTTTCCGACAAAGCCAAATCGACACAAGAAACACTCTGAGGAAGGGTGCTGCACAGTTCGTCGTATCTAGCAGTTTCATCACTCATCTCACGATGAAGATCACTGACAATGCGTGCCGATTTCGTATCCAAACGAAATTCACGTTTCCAAAGTTCTTGCCGAAGACAGACTGCTTCTGTACGTGTTCTCAAAGCAAACTCCAAGCTCAAACCGCGCAACAGCTCAAAACCGCAGTCCCCAAACGGTTTCTGGGGTGAATGTGGACTGGCGCACCGACTTGGAAAGCTTGAATAAGGGCATCTACACGTCCATAGTTGCTGAAAGCTTGTCTCAAAATAGCAAATAAAACTAGCACTTCTAGCTTGTTGACCCTGTGTGAGCTGGGCCGAAACTTCAAGACAGGTTGCTGCGAATTCATTTGTAGACATCACCGTGAACAATAGTACAGGTTTCCAAGCATGTAGGCGGGGTACTCGCGCAAAATGCGCATGCAGGTGACCGTGGTCCGGTGGGCCAACACACCATGAACCCCGTTTTGGACAACGTGCGCCGCTTCCGGTCAACTTCGCTTCCAAGTTCTCTAGGCTTTCAGGAAGCCTCTCGCCAACACCCAAAAGCACACGCACCAGCAACAACGCGCAAAGCACATTCACCTGCTCTTGGGCGCTTTGAAACACAGTATGGTGCAACGAAGCTGCCAGGTGGCAGGTGGTGTGCGTAAGGTTAACGAAACCCACTCGAGGAAAAGGATGTCTTCCACCACCTGAACGCGGAAAAATGTGTTCGAAGAAAACGCGACAACTGTGTCATATGATTGGGGCCTCGCCGCATGGAGACGCACACAGGCAGTACCACCTCACCCTTCGATGTAGAAACGGGCTGCGAGATCGCAGTTCGCAAAAATGCCTGGTGCGCAGCCAAAACAACACAGAAATACTTGCTTGGTCCGCCGACAAGTTGGATACAAGTTGGATTTCCGGGCGCTAGCTTCATAGCATTGAGCCAACAGGGAGCTAGTCGTTGCAGCAGAAACAAACAATGTTTTCTGAAAATAGAACTGGTTAAGTTACTGAGTGCGACTGAATCTTTCTAATTCCGCCAATACATGAGGACCATCATTTTCTTCTTCTTCATATCTTCGCATGTGCAAAACTCTCTCTCCTTCACATCTGCGAGTCTTCACACATTTCTCTCTCTCCCTCTCTCTTTCTCACTTTCTCTTTCTTACCACATCCGCCTCTCTGTCTCATCACAACTCTCTCTCTCTCTCTCCCATCACATCTTCATACCTCTCTCTCTCTTTCTTTCTGTCTGTCTTTCTTTCCTTCTGTCTTTCTTTCTTTCTTTCTTTTTCTGTCCTTCTTTTTCCTTCCTTCCTTCCTTCTTCCTTCCTTCCTGCCTTCCCTTCCTTTCCTTTCCTTTCCTTTGCTTTCTTGCCTGTTCTTTTCTTTTCCTTCCTTCCTTTCTTCCTTTCTTTTATGTTCTTTCTTTTCTTCTCTGTTCTTATCTTTTCTTTCTTGTGTTTTCTTTCTTGTCTTTTCTTTTCTTTCTTTTTTCCTTCTTCCTCCCCCCCTGCCTTCCTTCCTTCCGTCCTTCCATTCCATTCCATTCCATTCCATTCCTTCCCTTCCCTTCCCTTCCCTTCCCTCCCCTCCCCTCCCCTCCCCTTCCCTTCCCTTCCCTTCCCTTCCCTTCCCTTCCCTCTCTCTCTCTCTCTGTGAAATCACGTTGAACCCAGCCTCCCCTTCGCAAAAACAACCTGCGACACGTTGCGACGTAAAACGCCAGTGGGTGGAAAACACTCACAATGGAAACTGGCGAATTGAAGCTGGTATGAGACTGGCGGCAGGCGCAAGCTTCCTGTGCATCCAGTCCAGTCGGACGCAGCAGTCTGCCTGGCTCACCTGTTCATAGGCTTCTGGAGAGGGAGTCTGCATTGCTGCACACCTGTTTGCCATCATGGACAAAAAAACCTGGATCGTGGACCAAAGAAAGCCGGCCACCACCCCGTGCTTTTTCTCTTTAAGAGACTCAGTGGTGATCATGCGTTTTGCATGTCCTTGCCAGTGACTCCACCAGTAGTTAAAGGTTGTCAGGCTCTATGAGTCTATTCTTGGATTCTTTTGTTGGTTGAGTTGCTAGTCTTAAGTTCTCTGTTGGTTGAACGATTGAGACTCTGAGAGCTACACTAGTCGTAGACACGTGAACACTTCTTTTCAAGTTACTTCGTCCTGCGACGCTTGCTGGATGCCTCAGATGACTCTGCCTTGCTACTCGGCTGAGCTTTACGCAGCCCTGTGCTAGGGGTGAATGATGAAAGGACCCGGTCATTCTGCATATAGGTAAAACTGAAGTTGTTCTGGATGCTTTGGATTGCGTTAGGAGTGGGGGGAGCCTTGCACGTAGACATCAAGCTCTTCGGAGTTAGGAAAGGACTTCTGAGCAGGCCTTCTTGTAAACAGCGCCCGCAGTGTGTCTGACCTTCTTCAAGGCATACTGGATCATCTGCCCACACGTCAGCCTGAACTGAGGCCAGCCCTGTCCAAGCGTTGCAACAATCGGAGCGCTCAGAACTCAGAACATCCAGGAACTTGGTCCACCTGAGGCCAACAAACGTCAACAGCCAGCGCACAGCAGTCGAGGATCTCGGGCAATCAGAAAACACAACACAAGTCAATGACAACATGGGAAAAACTGGAAGAGTGGCGGTGATCGGGGGCCCGAAGCCATTTGAGATGAGGGGCCTCTGCTTTGTATGGTTCTTGGCACGACGCTCTGACACATCCCAATCATGGTTGAAGACATCCTCCAGCACAAGCTCTGTGATTGCAAGCCGACCAAACACCAGCCAGGAGAACAGACGCAGCTCCTCATCCGACTTGTTGCACCCGCGCTGCTGACATGGTATCTCTTCACCGTCATCTTGCAACGGCCGCCATTGACTCATCAGCTTCAGGTGCTCGGCTCTGACCTGAAAAGTGCATGTGTTATGAATTGAAAAGTGCACATGAAACCAGCACTGCCACGGCCCAAGTTGTTGTGACTGTGCGAACAGCTTCCTCGGCATTACATGTGTGAGGTAGCTAATATGTGTTACTTACTATTCTTTTCTTGTTTTTTGATGCTTTGCCGTCTTGGCGGCATGAGGACATCCTTTGTCCTCATTTGTCTCTGAGCCTCTCAAACTGGCTTGCTGTAACTCTTCTTGCACACTCCCTGCAAGTCTGTGAACTGTGTCCACCGGCTTCCCCCTTCAGTTGGGACTGGCGGAAATCCAAAATTGCCCCCAACGCAAATCACGTGTACTTTCACATTCCTTCTCCAAGAGTCCAATCGACGAATTGATGTCTTTCTGCGGAACAGTGTGTAGCAGAATTCAAAATTATACTCCCCCGGATACACATTACCAAGGCGTAAAGAGCATCCTTTCTGGTTATTGTTTCTAAATAAATGATGATTTGCACCAAATGAACCAAAAATATCGAGAAACGTGTTGAATACATTACCCCCCTCGGATATACATTCTTAAGGGGGTCCCTCGTACATATATATTATATATATATACATATTTTGTCTCTCCCTGTCCCATTTCATATAATTACTACAAATTACAACTCAGTTTTGTCACACATGGGTAATGGGTGATAACCATTCGATGAGATTTCACAGTTCTTCTCTTTTCTGGCACATCGCAGGGCTGCCTCCACTGTCTGCAAGGCATTGCCCTCATTGAGCATACACCAGAATTGCCCGCTGAAGGAGGTTGTCATCCTGGGAGCCCCGGAGGCAAAAATCAGCTTCAGCTTGGTGTCTTTTGAAGCTTTTTGGGAGCTTGTAAGGTTTCACCTTCAAGCAAAGAAGGTATTGACTTCGTCTCAGCTTACAGTAACCTTCCATTCAACAAGCCAATGATCTGCCCTACTGAGCTTGAGACTTTGGTCCCCGGTCTGAAAGGGTTCGCAATCTGCTTCCGCTGGAAGGTGTATTATGCTGTACTGGAAACAATGGCACTGGAAGCTGAAACCCATCATCCGATTTCTTGAAAAGGTGCTGGAAGCTGAAGCCGAGGCCAGTGATCTCTGAGACAATCGAGGGATAGACCACGAAGATGTTCGAGGGCGTCACTTGAAACCTTCCCACGTGGCAGCGCGTGGCATTGTGCGGCGTATGGCACTACATCAAATCTGTGACCATCATGCTCCATGGGTTACAACAAGGAAACCAACCAAGATTGACACTGGGTTCTTCCAGCTCTTTGCCCAAAGTCAACATGAAGGGTTTTGGGTTAGAGGTGTTTTTCGATGCAGGCACGAAACATCATGCCAAAACTGAAGCAAATATCTGTGTTTGGGATTTACATGGATGAGCTGAGCTGGTGACTGATATGACTGGTGCGCTGCCAACCCCCTAATACTTTGGAGCATCCGAAACCGTTGGAGGGCACCGACCGGCATGAAGCGATGTGCCAGAAATGGACTCCCTGTCCCAACGCAGGAAATCCTACGACCCGCGAAACCAACGCTGGCTTCGGTCGTGGCCGGCCGTCGCTCCAAGCAACGTCACGGTGCCCGCGAAGCTCCCATCGTTCTCCACCGTGTCGACGCCCTGTCGGGTGTAAAACAAAACCGGCCCCGAGCCGAACGGATCGACGCCCAATCCTCTCGAAACAGAGAGAGAGAGAGAGATTCGTAGACGTGGAATCCACAGATTCCAATAGGAACGTGTTGATGACTTGATGGACATCTCATAGCATGATCATGAAGTTACAGCTGGCCGCAAGACCACAGCGGAGAACCACTTGATGGATTCTTCGATTGTACCAAACCGTAGCTTCACTGGCTCCAATCTCATTCATCCTCATGTGAATCCATATTAACCATGCAAGAACACGCAAGCGTACCAATGTCCAACCATGAAGCTTCTCCACAGCATGTTTGGTGATGAACTCTCTATTCTCTATTCGGAGTTAGCTGGTACAACCCCATGGTCATCTGGTTCACCATGAAATACACGCGCCCTTCCCTCAAAACAAAAGAACAACAAACTCCCGCCGCCACGCTTATATAACAACAAACTCCCGTCTGTTGAGCCAACAGCTCTTCTTCCGACACTCCTAACAAGAGACTCCCCTTGAAGTGTCGCCGTCCACGTTTGTCTCAAAGACTTGACCAGGGAAAACCACACAGGATGACTTGTGTGACTTGTGACACGTTCACCTGAAGAAAGTCTGGTGAAACCACGACCTCACATAAAACACTGTAGCACAATCTGAGGACAGAACTCAGCGCAACTGTCCCAGAATCCCAAGTATCAATCTCATCTGGAGCACTCTGGAATACTTGTCGATGACACTACATGAAAAAATACCGGAACACAAACAGGTTGGGTACAATTTGAAGAACATCCAGATCAACCATTGATCTATTCAATGTCCCTTTCCTACCATTTGTCGCCTCAATGTAGGCGTGGAGCGCATACTCCGGTCCACTGTTCAACTTACAGCCGGAGAGACGGAAGGATTGCCTCGGAGAGACCGAGGGGTGTGCCGAAGCTGCGACGATGCAGCTGGCCACTGCGAGCGGCTGCTTTTCCCTCGACATCACTTCTTTAGCCGGGTCAAAATGGAGTGGATCCGTTCCAGCCATGGAATCCTGGTATATTCAGAGAGTGTGTAGCTGCAGCATGCCATCTACTTTACAGTACTGTGTATGTCCAATAGCATTGTTTATATGGCGTTATAAGATATAGAACAAACATCCCTTCGGCATCCTCGGCCACCGGCCATAGTGGGGCTCTATATATAACTACACGCCATGGACCATGGGTCGATGGAAAGAACAGGTCTTGGCACATCCACCTCGCTGGTCACGTCGCGTTCGTTTGGCTTATTGAGGCCACCCACTCTCCTCCCTGAAGGCCATGACCGGGTTTCGGCGTCCACAAACACCAACCGGAACTGAAGCGAAGCATGCTAAGCTTGGCCGAGCCACAACGAGGTGTCCACATACTGCTGCAACAACTGGCAGCTGCTGCTCCCTACTGCACCGTTGCCCGCCTGCGAGGAGAAGGAAGCGCCAGTGTCTTGTGGCATCAGTGTTGGATGGGGGCTTGAAGTTTGTGACCATACATTTGGCACCTTTTGGTAGGTTCATCCAATCATGTCCTATCATATCCATTGGATTAGAAGGTTGACTATCTTTGACTCTTTCTGAGTAAATCAACCGGAGTCAACCCAAACCAATGGAAAACAGCAGGTTGGAAGGTGGACGAAACTGTTTAGGAGCCTTCCCGTGTATGTGGATGCAAGTCGCCCCAAACAATCCCCTTCGGGCAGTCAAAGTGGGTTGAATACGTCTTGGGACTGCTGTCAGGACTGGTACGGTAAATGACAAAAACATCAGATTAAGCGACCCTCCCTACAATTGATTTTTGGGGGTCCAGCTGTCTCCGCTGTCAAAAAAAGACCTTCCGTCTTCAGATATGGGATGTTTGATGTGGGACTCAACAGCCCTAAGCTGATAATTCTGCTGGTCTCCTTGGAAAGCGGTTCAAACAAATCATTGGCGCAAACAAGAGATCTCCGTGGTCCAATGGGGTGCTTTCTATCTTCCTGAGGGCACACTAGGATTCACCTTAGCCTCACTTGACACACAACCAGGATGATATCCATGGTCACCTGCTCTGGTTGAAAGGCCCTTGTGACACAGAATCAACATCATGATGTCATCAACAACCCCAGGCGGCTACCTGCATGTAAAATACTCAAGCAACGCAAAGGCTGAACCTATCGACAAAGTTCTGCCATTCGATTGAACCGATGGTGAGTTGAAATTGCTGAGTTCCAAAATCTTGAAGGTGCACAAATCATTTCCCTCTGGCTCCAGCAGGGAGCTTCAAGAAACACCTGCAAGCAACAACCAACAATATTCTATAGATAAATAATGCACTATAAGTTATAAGTATATATCTATAAAACTATCACCCAATATGTCCTTGACAGCCACTTGGCCTTGATGAGGTCGATGGTCAGGGCCACTGGGCCCACGGTGATCATGAGCCACAAATAGCCATCGGACCTCTCCACAGGTGGTTGTCACCATGGTTTCACCAGGGAAGGTCCGAAGTGGCATGGATTGACGCCACACGAGGCCCCGAACAGTTCCGAGAAAAACAAAACAAAGGATGGCTATTAAGGATATAATAGCAATGGGGGTTCCCAAGGTCGTCAGGCAGCATTCTCTGTCAAACATGCTCCTCCAACGATCCAATTCATTCAGGGTCGAAGTGAATCGACGCGGACCGTCCTCCAAGTCGTGAGTGGCCGACCGAAGCGACGCGCACTGCCCCGTCCAAGCCCAGAAGTGCCAACCTTTTCATTTATCGTAATATACACCCCACTCCTCATGCCCTACCCGGGGGCCATCTGAGGCATTTGACCACCCCCACATCCCCCACCACCGATGCCGGTCGCGCCGATCGCGCCAGCCTCGCCCGGAGCTGCACGGTGATGCCATCACCCGAGGGTGCTCCAGAGATCGTCGGATACGTCGAGAAGGCGTTGGATGCTTGGGATGCCACGGCTGAAGCCTTGAGAGCCGGACCGAGGTGGCCTGGATGGGCTGGGATACTTAGAGGAGTGGACATAGAGATCTCGTTCTGGTCGCAAGGAATTCATGTTCGGCATGAGACAGCCAAAGAGTTTGGACTTCCTTTGAACTCTGTGAGCTTGATCCGCCCGAGTTGAAAATGACATATCACTCCTACCATCTCCCACCTACCAGGCCCTACCCCGCCCCTCACGTGTGCAAACGGAGCATCCGTCTCGACGAGCCCATCCAGGTGAGCGCCAATGCCACTAATGTAGGCCAACACCGTGTAGCGGTTTCCCACCGTCAGCAGGCAGCCCGAAAAGACCCAGGCCTCACAGGCTGGAAGACCTTCGTCCACAAAGGACGGTATACCCAAACATAGACCTTGGGACCCCAGCACCTGTGTGTGCTGTGGCATCGGCCAGGCATTCGGGACCCCAAGTTCAACTCTTGGGACCCCAGGAATTTCGCTGATCTGCGACGGTCGAAATGAAGAACTCGATCCCTGGTGATGCGACGTGTTCGTTTGATGGCGGGGTTTCGCCTCTTCTCGCAAGGCGAAGAGCTGACGTGGGCCGTGCTTGCAGAAAGGTCCTCCCAAGGCGCCCGTCAAGTTGTAGACCGTCTCCTCCGCGGCCGAGCTGCTTGGTGGTTTCGCGTCAGGAAGATGAAGAACAAGACCCCCTCAACCGAATTTGTGTTGCCCCAGGCCCTGAGGGTCAAGAACCCTGCTATGAAAGGCCTTGATTCAACCCATAAGAATAATGTTTGAACCCTTTGAAACTGATGGACTTGAGACCACATGACCCTTGAGATATGTTGGGTTGTATTTTGTGTTTCTATCCCGTTCATACCACATGGTGGAAACTCGCCCTTGGTGTTGTGCCACTGTGTTTTATGAACTAAGAAATCTGGAGTGGATCCGTCAAATCAAGGATCTATGATGTGTCTATGTATCATGTAACGATCGATGTATAGTAGTAGGTGACCTTTGAACCTTTGGTTGGTCACGAGTCTATGTCTAAGTCTAAGTCTGTGACTTCTATGCGGCAAAGTCAGATCAACCTGCCAGGCCATCTACAACATGCAGCAGTTTCACCGCCTTGTTGGCCGTCCGCGCGGTCTGCTCTGGTAGGATCATGGCCCATCCCCAGCCGTTCCGCTGCGGCGTAAAGGCCAAGGTCACACCCGATTCCTCACTCCACTTGCTGCGCGAAAACGGTTTTTGGTGTTTTTCTGGATGGTTGCGGAGCAAGGGAGGGGTCTGCTTCACCGGCGTTCTTTTTTGAAGCAAAACGCACATAGCGTGTAATCAAGACATCCAGACATAAACCGACATGACGCCACCTTCGCCCTGAAGAGTTGTGGCACAGAAATGCCATCAGGTACTCCATCAGGTCAAGCATAGGAGCAAGTCTGGTTTGAAGGACAACAAGATTAAGAAAATAGTTTACTTCGAGTGATCTCCACGACCATTACATTTCAATCTGACAAGTTTTCTGGCATGTAATGAAACATGATTTCGGCCGTTCTTCTTGCATATCTTCTGACATGTTTTCTGGAGAGTCACGGGTTCCAAGGAGTCCTTCCACTATCAAAGGCATTGCCGTTTAAACATTTCAAATCACTATTTCACTAGTCGCTAGTGCTTGTGTGGTCCCACTGTTTCCACTGAGCAGGCCACAGAGAAAGAGAGAGAGAGAGAGAGGAACAGAGGGAGAGAAAAAGAGAAACAGAGAGAGAAAGAGAGACAGAGAAAGGAAGCGAGAAAGAGAGAGGAAGAACGAAAAAGATAAAAAAGACAGAGAAAAAAAAGAAGGAGAGAACAATAAAGAAATAAAGAACGAAAAAAAGACAGAACGAAGGAAGGAAAGAAAGAAAAACAGAACAACAAATAGAAGAACATAAGAAAGCGAGAAAGGAAGAAAGAACGGAAGGCAGGAAGGAAAGAAGAAAGGACGAAAGAAAACAATGAAGGACAGAAAGAAAGGAAGAACGAAAGAAAGGAACACAGAAAAACAAAAAGAAAAGAAAGGAAGAAAAGACAGAAAGAAAGAAAAACAGAAAGACAGGAAGGCAGGAAGAGGGAGAGGATTTACTGCAATCCATGCATAAACTGATGCGAGGGAGGTGGGAAAAGTGAGAATTGTTGCAGCGCGAAAGGTGAGAGTGCAAAGGTATAGATAGAGTTGGTGCCGGTCGGTGTGCAAAAAGGTGCAAGCAAGGTAGCAGTAGCATCCCAGCAAATGTACGCTGAATAAACGTATTCAGGGGGTGAAAGCAAGGAAAACTTGACAACGGACAGCGGGCGATCTTTTCGTGGGCCCGGAAGACAGTGATGCGTCGAAGGGTCCATCAATCCAGGCGGTAAACCACAGGAGGTAGCCCGAAGTCAGCAGGCACCTGTAGCGCAATGGGCACCAAGTTCTCGCAGCGATGCGCGCAAGTCATCTTTCGGGCTTGTCAGGGTGTTAACCAGCTAATCTGTCCCTCGGGCGACTTGTTGCCATGTTTGTCACAACGGACGTATTTGAAGCTGTTGCTTTTCAAAGAGGTCCTTCGCACCAAAGGTGTAGCCGCTGAGGGCCAAAGTATAGGCCCCCAAAGCCGCTGCGCTGCGAACCGGTCCTTTGATTGGGCGCCCGGAGGGGTGTGGGAGTTGGACCCTGTGGTAGGGCACGTCTCCCTGCACTTCGCCAGCGTCGGGTGGTGGAGCTTTTGTTGAGAATCTCCACATGTGGCTTGGCCGTTGCCTGGAAAGGAACAATAAATTCCTTCCCCTTCCTTTCTTTTCATTGTATTTTCTTTGCTTTCCTTTCCTGTTCCTTTCCTTGTCCTTTTCCTGTCCTTTTCCCTGCTTTCCTTTCCAGTATGCTTTTTGGAAGGCCTGGAAAAACATGTTCACAAATTGCATTCCTTCCCCTTCCTTTCTTTTCCTTTTCTTTGCTTTCCCTTCCTTGTCTTTCCTTTCCTTTCCTTTCCTTAAAGATTGCTCTCCCCCTTTCCTTTCCTTCTGCTTTCCCTTTTCTCCTGTCCTGTCTTGCCGTGTCTATAGTCTAGTCTTGTCTTATCTGCTTCTCTTTTCCTTTCTTTTCTTTACCCCATTGCTAACCGAAACCTTACTGTGTAATGATTGTAATGCGATGTGCCCTGGGAACACTGCCAGCCGGAGCTCGCGGTTGAGGTCCGGCGTGGAACACTGCCATCCGACACTTGTGGTTGAGGAGGCGGAGGAGAAGGAGGAGGACAAGGAGGAGGCGGAGGAGGAGCAAGGCAAATGACATAGAATCCAACAACCCTCACCTGACAGGTGGGGAAGAAGCAGATTGTCATATTGCAAAATTCAGAACAACAAAAATCAAAAAAATAAAAATTGCAGGGTTGCAACAAGATCAAAACAACACTTCTTCTCCTATGAGCGAAAACTCCAGCAAACCAAACACATTGGACAGTGCCTCCGCCCACAAATGGTGAAGAAATGCCCCGTTCACAAGGAAAGTGGTCTAGAGATTGTGGCCCACTGAGTTGTCGGGGTCACAAACGGGTTCGTCTCCATCCGGTCTGACCGGATGAGGTGGGTTGTTTCCAACCAGTGATCGGTGATCTCAACTTTTGTGGGGGTTCATCAGTTGCCACGGCTTCACCTTGGTCTTTTTACTCTTGCAGAACAGTCATCAGCCAAGTCTAAGGTTCTACTCTATATATATATATATATATTAAACTTCCATGTATGATGTGGTCCTACTTTCCTGTGCTGATGCATGCCAATACCATCCAGCCAAGAAGATCAAGAAGACCAGCATACCCCAAAATTACCTCCCCCCACATCATATCGACAAATCCCTGTTCCAGGAGTCACATGTCGGGGTGGTTTGTAGTCCCATCCAGTGAGTGGATGTGACAAGGACACCCTTGATCCTCTGTTCGGAACCGGCACCCCCTGTGACTCCTTCATGCTGATTTGGACATATTTGGACCTGATCTGCTCCAGAACGACGCCACAGAGTCCCAGGAACCGTCAATGGACTATTGAGATGGGGCGAGCTGTGGAAGGTGTTCGAGAGGCCAGTGATGACCTCGGTCCAAGTCGTTGGTCAACGGTCGTCCAGCTGGATGTCGTTTCCTTTGTGGTGCAGTGGCGGATCCCGTTCAGAGTGATGTAACCAGGGTTTGATGAAGCAAAGGGGTGGATTCTTCCCATGTGGGTTGGACAGAAAAGAGCTGGAAGCAGTTGTTGTCATCCCCAATTCCACCTGGAGCCTGCCAATGATTTGTACAAGTTTGTTACCCCGGTGAACCTCATCTGACATGTCTGTGGTAGGAGTACGCACCCTGATTGTGAGGGCAGGGCGTATGGTCCCTGAACAGGCTACGGTCAGTCAACCGGAAATCAGATCAAGTGAGGAGCACACACAAAGCCAGCGGAACAAGGGGTTTGCTGGTTTGGAGATGCCTCTACTTGAGCGTCAGTAAGTGGGTTAAGTCACCGTAACCTCATCAAAATCGAGCCACCGTCAAACGCCCAGTTCAACCGTTCAGCAACCACCTGTCATGCACAATTATCAACTGCCAGTGCCTTATCCTCAACACTGAAGACTTGACAAAACATCCCAAACCTCATAGACATCATCAAGCTAAGTCCCACCAAATCGGCTCTGGCTCACTAATGGGATCCGCCATGATCCGCCACCAAAGGTTGGTATCTAAGAGAGGAAACCCTTTGATGACATGGTTTCATGGAACTCTTTCTGACCACCTCTTCTGACCACCTCATCCAAGCGCTTGTGGCCTTGTGAACGCTTTCCAACTTGTCTAAGCCACAGTGAAGTGGACGCCCCCCGAGAGGGTACCATCCGCTAAGCCGGCGTCGAAGCTGGCCACGCTCTGCACATAGACCACCTCGAACCCCGCGGCTCAAGGCGCACATGCAGGCTTCGTGTAAGGATTTCAGAGAGCCAATTTGAGGGACAAATCTGGTGGAAATTTGTTTCCACCGGTTGATCTCTTTCGGGATCTGTAGTCGATAGTGACAGTGTCAAACAATATCAAACAATAGCATTTAGCGATCCATGTTGTCTTCAGGGTCCAAAAAGGACACATCCAATCTCATGACTTACAGTATATCAGTATCTCAGGAATTTCCGCCCGGCGTGACGAGCACCAACCAAATAAAAACATACAAAACCCAATTGGAAAACCCACCTCCAATGGCCCAAACGCCCCCGAGCACCTTCCGAGCACTGCCCAGCACCGATGAAGACCTGGTCCCCACCGAGGCGCGATGGCGTAGCGCTCCCCGTGGGACAAGAAGCAGCCCGTGGGGTCGCTGGGATCGTCGTCACTGCCCAGGCGCCACAAGTAGAGCTGGGCACGGGTGACCGCCTGAGCGGTGTGCCCCGCTGGTGCTAAAAGCCAGTGGGACCTGATGAAAAGCCCGGTTGGTGAAGGTTCAACGCGTGGGGCACCTTGGGGGGGCATGTGGCACCTTCTGAAGCAAGCTTCCGTTCGAACACTGCTGGTCGACATGTGCTCAGTGAAGGCGTTTGTTGCGGGGCCAGGTGAATCTGACCCATAATAACAAAAATTGAAATGACATTGTTCAATGGTTCTTAAGGCTTGAAAAAGAAAGTTAATTTCAGCGGTGTCTTAAATGTTCTTGAGGCTTGACAGAGAAATATTTCAATGGTTAAGGCTTGACAGAAATCATGTACACTAAATGCACTGACAGCCCAAGTGTCCAGAAGCCATTAAAAAAGCGTATATACTTCGATGGACCTATGAACTAAACCAATGCAAAACTGTCTTGCAACCTACAGTCCTACAGTTGTCGTGGACCTTTGCCAGGTTCAAACCCAGAAAGCTTGGTGTCCACATCGCAGTGAATAAAACTTGATTTTAAAAAGAGAGTAGAAACTGATTTAAGACTAAAAACCACAAGGCACAGCTGGCAATCACTGCGAAAAAAACAAATACAGTAACAACTTGTCCAGCTGTGACTCCCTCACCAACCGCCCGACAAAGGTCCCCACGTCGCCTCCTGCTGGCGAGAGCAGAGCGCCCCGCCCACCGCGTTCGTGCCAGCCTGGCGAGCGGAAAGAGCGTCGGGTTCGCACCGCGCCGCCCCGTCGGAGCCCGGAAGAGTCGGAACTCCATGGAACGCCGCTCGATGGACGCGCCAAGAGCGAGCGAAGAGCGGACACTTCGAACGCACCCAGATGACATGTGTTCTGTTCCCATCCAGATGCTTTGTCCGCCGCGCGCCAGCGCTCCACCAATCCAGGTGTTTCATCCAGTGACCCCAAACCACAGTCCAATCTTTTTGAATGGTGCACAGCAGTCTGGCTTGTCAAAAACCAATGAGTTGTTGCATCGTTTTGTAGTTTTGTCTGTTGATTCCCAGATCCCCCAAAAACGGCATCCAACCTTTCTCCACCGAACCCTGTTGCCACGCCGTTCCACGCCTTGATGGACGCTGCAGTGGCATTGGAGGCATTGGCCTCGCTCAGGACCACTGCCCAGGCCTCGTTTTGCAGAGGGACAGAGGACCCCAGCAAAGCAGGTTTATTCTTGTCCTCATCTTCCCACTCTGGAAGATGTAATCCTGTCGCCAGTTTGAGTTCTTTCAAGGTCCCACAAGCAATCTGGGTTCAGGTATGTTCAAACTCCCAGACAAACTTTGGAGAGTCCGCCATCTGCGATGAATTTCAGGTCCACCATCAGCTCTTGGATTGGGGATCATGATCGGAACCATCTATCGCGGACGACCGGTCGCACGGGCGCGAAGATCCGAACAATATAAGACATGGGAAAATCCACGATCACTTGTGCCGCTCCATCTGAAGTCATGGTCTTTTTGGAGTGAGTCCCACACCGTCGCGCACGCCGGGCCACGTATCCCTGCACCGCGGTGGGGGAGAAGCGGACAGTGACACCTTCGGGAACAGGGGTCGAAGAGATGGACGGATGCTCGAAGAAGGCACTGCTCACCTGGGCGTCGCGAAGGATGCCATCGCAGGTGGGGGCTTTTGTGGGGCTCAGCGTCGCAGGTGGTTGATTTCTGTTGTTGTGCCATGCAGAACTTTTTCAGCGTAATGGCTTCTGCCTGTGTACCAAGGCTAGAAGCTGTAAGTTACAGACTTGGAAAGGCAAAGAGGGCTTCTGGACCTGGGAATGATATGGAAGACTCCTATCTTCCTGGGCACTCTACTCTCTCCTCTTGGTTACCAGGATTTGTTGCTGAACTGCCTCCTGTCACAGTGCGACCGCCACTGAACCAAATTTGTACCAAGGCGCCCATTCCGCGCGCGGGATGGGGCTTGGTGGGTCAGGCGCATCGGGCGGCGTGGTGGCAGTATAGCCTCAGAATTGAAGGAATTAGCCGTTTGGAGTCTGGAAGAAGGTGCCCAACCAATTCAACCAGCCACTGATAAGGAGGATGAGTTGCAAATGTCTGGATCCACTCATCTTTCGGGATCCCTGACAAGCGAAGTTGTCCCATTTCCTCTTTGGTAGGTCCTGAGGACCGACAGTTGGACATGTCAAGCAAGCGTGGCGAATGGAGAATGATGAAAGATCAGGGGTTCAAGTGGCTCCAGCGCCTACTGCTGCTTCTCCGCTGAGGGGCTCAGCTTCCCTTCAAATCCAAGCTAGAGCAAGCCCTTGCACGGTGGGGACCGAGAAGATTGTCTTCCCAACCTCTACTGATGGATGTTCCATGCTTGCAGCCTGAGCAATGAATCTCCAGTGCTGGGGTGGCACCTAGAAATCCTACGGTAGTCATTCCTGCACAATGAAATACAACACATCATCATTGCATTTCAATGCCCCAAGCTCCAGCTATCAGAAAAGAAAAACTGGTAATTACTAATTGTTATTACTGTATTACTCATTATATCTAATGACTCTTTCAAGTTGACCTTTCCATGGGACGCCCAAGTCGTGCCTGTTAGCGTTTTCAATGGTTCGCCAGCCGAAGGAACTGAAGATGTTTGAGCGTGTAACGTAGCCCGCAGCGTTCTGGGAGCTGATCCTGCGACAGGGACCAACAAACCCAGAAGCCGCTTCGGTCATGGGGAAGGACGGACGGGTGGAAAAGTATGGGAAAACGGTGCAGGAGAGCCCAGCTACAGGTACACATCCTAGATCTCTGAAATCAATGTATATATGCGTTCTTTCGCAGATGGAGAAGTTGTCCCGTGATTAACCAAAGTTGAGACAGCTTAGTTGAAACCTGCACTGATGCGTCTCATGCAGTACAGCCAATCTCATATTTGGGGAGCCAACCTCCCCACCAAGATATGTGTGCTTGGCAAAAGACCCAAAGTGTTTTTGTTGAGGGTCTCACCCTCTTGAATGGTCGTTTGAGGGATGCGCCACTCTCGTTAGTCTCTGCAGTGATTGGAGGCCAGGTTTCAATGGTCATCTCAACATCTCCATCCTCATCCTGCGAGTCCTACTGACTATGAGCTACTATAGACTATAGTAGGATATTGTAGGGATGATGCAAACCCTAGCCATCTCCAGAAAAAAAAAAAGAAAAACGTGTCCCATCCTGAAGACATAAGCAAACTGAAGTTGGAGCTGTGTGACACGGAAGCTGGTCGCACCTCTGTCGGCGAATCGCCACGGCTCCGTGGTGAACGAACCGTGGAACCGGAGACCCAGCTCTCACGGCTAGCCGAACGACCCAGTTCGTACATCTGCAGTCCTTGCCACTAGGTGGTTTCAAGGTGCATACCCAGGTACACTGCACAGACCCTGAAAGCATCTGATAGCTGACTGTGTCTAACAGTTAGAAGCCATGCACAAATCAGAAACGCAGTCGTCCTGACACTTGACTTGGGCACATAACATGTTGCGCACTTGAGCACCGGGTCGACCTTTTAGGCCTTAGGCCACTTTCAGATAGAGCGCGAGTCCGCTTTGCAGTTCTATAATATACTGTAATCATATACCCCTTTTGGGGGGTTGAGATTCACCTTGTAAAGGCATCCTTTGCTTAAAACTCAACTCTTTGATTCCTTTTGATCAAAGCCAGTGGCTTCGGATTCCATCTGCTTCAAAGTCCTTGTGTTTTTTTTTGACGTTTCCTCTGACCAAGCCGTTCGTCACCGTGACCGAGAAGCCAGTGACCGATGACGCCCCTCGATCTGTTCGAGTCGACCGAGTCACTGGTGTTCCCCAAGGACACGAAGACGCCACCCACGTCCATCTCCTCGCGCGGTCGGGCACACTCCAAGGCACCGGAGGCACCGGTGGAGTCGGTGGAGAAAAAGTGAAGAAAGCATCCAATGTCTTCCCCCGGCCAAGCCCTTTTGTCTTCACCCCCAATGTGAGGCCGGGCAATCATTGGCGCACTGGGAATTTACATCACGTGCGCACTGGACATCACTTGCGCACTGGGCATCAATCACTTGTGCACTTACCTGCTTCCTAGCTTGGGGGCGGTGGATCACCTGCCTCCATACATCTCTTTGACGCTTTAGTGGCAGCTGGGGTGGTGGGGTTGGTGGGGATTTTATGGAATGATTTCTTGGAAGCATTTCTTACATCCTGAAGTTGATTTTACATAGTTGTGGAAACACAATTTGGGTAAACTCATGCAATATGTTTCTGCGTGGGTGTGTTGTTTGTGTAGGATACGTGTGACACATCTGTGGGCGCAACTGTGTCGCCTAAATTAGCTGTTTGTTTGTTGGTTCTAGCTGAGGCACGTGATGCGTTTGAAAGAAGCTCTGCATTTCTTACCTTGATCCAGTGCACAGGCCAACAAAATTGCAAGTGCACAAGCGACGGAAATTTCAAGTGCACAAGCGATTGCTCGCCCCAATGTGACACGGACCAAAGGAACTTCTCTGAATTTCTTTTCAAACACTGCCAAGCATTTGTTCAAGGCATTTGAAAGCTCGCTTCCTTGTTCCAAGCACCATTTGGAATCTATATTATAGTCTTACGCTAGTTCACTCGTTCCACATTCATAGAACACCCATCCATCCCCACCAAAAATTGTGCCCCATGCGCGCGTTGGCCCTGCGCTCCACTTCGTAGGTGTAGCTGGAACCGTTCATGCCATCGTCGGCTGGGGCCGTCCAATACCTCGGTCACACCGACCGGTGGCACGGTCGTCTTTTCCGACCGCTACGTTCGGAGATAAAGTGCAAATGGCTACATTCATAGCTTCTTGTTACTAGTCATTGCACTTGTTAGTAATGCCCTACCACACCGACCGCTAATGGTTGTAAAATAACGACCATTGACCATCCATCAATCAATTGTAGGTTCATCCTGTCTTCTAACGGTAGTTGTTCTATGCACTGAGGGATCAATGTTTGTCGTTGAAACGTGGCTGAACGGCGAGCAAGATGCTTGCTCGGTATCAAATAGTGCGAAGAGCTACTTGAATGATCTATAATAATGGTCTTGCATGTAACAACCATCTTCTGTCAAATCAAACATCCAACCAGCTCAACCCCACCACCATGTCACCATGTTGTACTGCGCGCAAACCACGCAAAAACGATGTCCACCCACCACCACCATGTGACCCAGGGCTCAGCCAGGGCTCCCGGCAGAAGCACCTCCGTCCCTTCAGGCTCTCCGAGACGAATGTCTCGCACCGGGCCAGGCACGTCGGCCGCATACGCCGAGACGGTGCCACTGTTGGGGCCGCAACCCAAGGGGCCCTGGCGACGAGGAGAGCGGACGAAGGGATACGAGGACGCCGCGATGGCATTGAGATGGATTTCTGGAAGGGTTCCAAATGGCAGTGGCAGCTTGGAATGAGACTTCAAACGGATTTCAGCTTTAAGGACTCTAGGAGTCAGGGTAGCACACAACATCCAGTTCTCTTCAACTCACAGAGTTCGGAAGGAGAGCGGACGCCGACTTCCCTCGAAATGGGGATCCAAACAAAGCACAGTCATTGTCCCTCGCTCGAATTCAGACAGTTACCTAGAGTCTAATTAGGCAGTATACCCTATGGAGTTCTGTGAATACCCCTATATGAGTATCCAACGAATCACATCCCCAGCGAAGACATCTTGTAACATCCCCACCAAGGACAACTCCGCACCCGTGGTCATCTGTGGTCCCCTGTGGCCTCCGTCAACTCCAAAGTCTCATCTCCGTAGGCACCCAAGACCTGGGTTTCTGAATGATCAGGTGAATTTAACAAAGGACATGTGAAAATGCTGACTGGTTTGTTGCGGAGTAGGAAATGTGTCTTCTTAAAGGCATTGAAGGTTGTTTCGCGGTCACGAAACTCTTCTTATTGATCAAGCCTTGATCATTTGGTCATAACCTCAACCCGCTACGGAGATGCTTTGTTCACCACCAGTGTCAAAAGATGCAAACACCCCAGTGAGCCTAGTCAACGTCTCGAAAATATCTAAACAAGGGTGGTGAGTACAGGTGATTCCACTGAAGGGTGCGACTTCGGCGATGATTCAATGAACTCTCCAACTTTCTGGAGAAAGCACGTGTGGGTGTGGAGACATAAGAATCCAATTGATTCTTTGGGGAGGCGTGTTTTCTAGAAGTCTATCTATGGCCATTTGCTTGTGGCTGTTGTTTAAACACGGTGTCCTCTTCGAAAAAGGGCATGATCCTTTGCCAAAGTACTTGCAAACACGGTCTCCATGTTCGGTCCAAGGTGCACAGGCTTGGACCTGATAGCGGTAGAGGTTGCCTGCAAGACGGCTGGGGATTGATCCGTCGGTCTTTGGATGGCTGGTATCCGTGCAAATCCACCAAAAGAGCCTCAAACAAACAACAAGAGCTCAAACAAAGGAGAATCATCTGCTCATGTCTGGTCAATGGGTCAACTGTCTTCAAACATGGAAGAGTGGGGGTTTGGTTTGACCACAGCGCAAAATGGGTTGTCCACTGCCATGGGTCCGAGAAGAGTGTCTGCGAGGTTTCACAGGTCCGGACTAATATCGGCCGAAAACGGACTGGTCTGGAGTCGGACGGAAGAGAAACGTGGAAAAACCGGGTTTAAGATATCTCTAAACAAAACACCCTGAGGCCCTGAGACACAGCGAACTTTAGATTCCTTCGTGGGGACTACAGTGACTACAAGCAGGATTCCCACATGGTTCCAATTTAAGCCACCTCGTGCTTAGCTTGCTGTTTCCACCCAGTGTCCCCGGGCTGGCAGCTGACCTGCACTCAAGCAGGAAGGTGGGCAATTACAGGATCCATCATCCACCAAAGGAGGCGCGATGAAGCAACCCCCGTCGTCAACGTACTGCCGCCCCTGGCAGGTGGCTAAAAGATGCCAGAACATGATTTGAACCAAATCATATGAACAATTGATGATTCAAATCATTGGAATTGTGGGATGATGATGCTTCCAATGTTCATCACATGTGATGCCAGAACATGTGAACATTGGAATTGCAACCCTTACGAAGTACTTTTCTGCGCTCCAGGCACATTATGGCACATTCACAGGAAACTCTTCGTGCAAAACACCAAAGCCACCGGTTAGTTTCCTGTAGATAATGTTCGGGCAGCGAATCCCCTGTCTAACCATCGAATTTATCTGGTTAGGTTTGATATGGTAATTACGTATACTATTGGCCATATTATCATGAGATATGATGAGTATTACTAGTATTACAGTATTTCTACACCTTGGTGCCGGGTCTCATCTTCACTCAGTCGCACAAAGCCCGCACCCTGCGCTCAGTCTCAGACCGCTGGAATCTGCAAGACTGCGCTGGCGGCGTCCGCGTAGCCCACGATCTGGAAGCCTCACGAGCAGAGGGATGCTCAAGCTCCATCGGCTCGCGTTGGAGCCGAGAAATGGACACAACGATTTGGAGACACATCATTTATATAATATGTTTCCACATACACCTCTTTTCTGCACAAGAGAGCAAGTTGTTGTGAATGATGAAGGACATGGTCTCGAAGGGGTTTCGATCGAGTCTACTTAGGTTTCGATCTTTTCTCGCATGCGAGAAGCCTCGGTGTAGGGGCAGAGCGGAGATGGAAAGCAGGTCATTGCAGACTGACAGGCCATCATGTTGTGCTGGACAAGATCTTAATATCTTAATTAGGCACCAAACCCTGGAAAGGCGGCGAAGATCAGCAACACTTCGTCTATCAAGCCCGGCAATTACTGTGATGGTCACTCTCGAGGACCCTAGGAAGTTGGAGGGCGTGGTTCTTTGCAAATGAACTACGACAGTAAGTACAAGAACCATGTTTTGACTAAGGTTGTTGGTAAGAATCGGTGCTTGCTGCCCTCCGCGCCGCTCCCATCAGTTGGTCAGGCGGGTTCTGTTACACATCTGGTGAGTTAGGCGTCACACGTTGAAGGCAACACTCTGTGCAAGCTGAAACACCTTCGAAGCCAATTCCAACACAGTTTCACAATACATAGCATAGTGATGCATAGTGTATTTTCTCCGCCCTCTCTCGCTCTCTCTACATGCTCAGCTGCCTTGATCGCCGTAGTACCGCAGAATTCGATACTGGTGAATGGGCACGCAACCTGCGCATGTCTGAAGACCCTGTCTTATTGACATGACATGAACAGGAGCATGGAACCTGACAAAGCGTTCACTGAAACAGGTTGTGAGTTCCCTGCTGGTGAAAGCATTCGGTTTGTTCTGCCGATGGAGCAGGGTATTCCAAAATGCACCGACCCGGTGCCCGGAGGACCATGCCGACCGCACCAGGAAGACTCGTTGCATGGCTTAGGCTCATTGCTACAGTAGCTCGTCTACAGAAAGCTGATGAGCTCCCTCGTTGACGGAGAGCCAAAGGAAACCTCCTGCTCCAATTGCTCCACACTTTGCAAGAGCTGGTAGGTACTCTTGCTCAGCTGCAAATTCTGGATGCATTTGTTATATTTGTTAAGTATGAAGCAAATCACCCCACGCCAATCCACAACAAAGATCAACAAAGACCATTTTGTAAAGGCCAGCGCATTCATGTCTGCTCAAATGTGGCGACAAGTATGAAGGGAGTAGCGCCGAAGAGCACCCTTCACATGGAACCCTGCTATGGAAATTTGCATTTGTCAGCAATTTGCATCTGTGAGAGCTGTACATTCATTGCTGAGTGGGTTCCATTCACGTCTTATCGGACATACTTACTTCCCCCAAGAGCAACTATATACTATATACATCTATATACATTCATCATCTGATATTATTCCCACATATTCTGCCGAAATTCATTCGAGCGCGCAAAGCGGCGTGCCACCACCTGTGTCTTCGGGCTCTTCCCAGGCCAAGGAGATGCTGCTGGTCGTGGTGTTCGTCACCACCACGCTGCGAGGAACACCGGGCAACCTGCGGGTTTGGGATATAAGTATATAGCCTGTTTGGGGACACTGAACTTGCAAACCGTTCAAGGGCCTGAGGAGGTCTTGAGTGCGGTTCCACTGGAAGGTCAATTAGTGCTTCAAATGTGAATGATTCGAGGCAGCGCTTCAGCATCTGGAATCCAGGCTCTAGCCGTTCTATCTGGCTGACCAACCCCACCGACCAACCTTCGCCCGACCAAGACGGTCGGGCCCTGACTAGTCTTGGTCATCCAAAGCTTCTGAACTTGCCCCGTTTGGTTTGGTGGACTTGGTGATCTCTTGCAAGGCTTACTTGTTGGCATGGGACCTTTGGGAGGGAGTAGTAAGCCTTATCAACATCTTTGGCATTGTTTGCCGTGTGTCCATAGCAGCATGCAAGTCTGCTTTCGGGTCCACACACTCTTAGCACCTTGAAAGGGGGAAATCAACTTTCATAGTCCATGTCCGAGCTCTACTCCACAAATCTTCTCTGCTATACCAGTGTTGTCCGATTTCATGAAGTCATAAACCAACTCCTATGTCCTAGTTGGGAAACAACTCTCGTTTTCTGGTTTGGTTCGACAAATAGACAAGGTTAATACAGTTAATACTTGTCCGACAAAAATTGGTCCGACTCACCAATGCATGGGTTCAACATGTTTAAACATTTGGTGTCACAACTCCCACCGGTAAATGAAGACATGTTCAATGAATCTGCAGTTCCCGAGTCTTGACTTTGCGCGAGTGTTCCTGAGAGCAGGGTTGGGCAGCCCTCCTGTGAAAAAGAACGGCTCTATTACGATAAATCAGTTTGATTAGAAGAAATTCCGAAAATGACAGTATAACCCGGGATTAAACCTAGTTGAAGGCATTTAAAAAGCTATGGACTGCCAAGTGTCCCAAAAACCGTCCCTCAGTTCCTCATCACCGAATGGTTACGTGGCGCATGCCTGGCGTTGGTGACGGCCAAGGGTGTAGACATGGGGCCTTCGCCGATCATGGTCACCAAGGACCTGAGCCGACCGAGCCGACCAGCGCGGGTCCCACGGGAACGACCGTGTTCATACCGGTCTGACCGAACGGGTCCAACGATGGCGTTTCCGTAAAAACAAGAATTATAGTCTTCCACTTTGTTCTTTTGCTCCCAAAGAAATAGTGGTCTGAAGGAATAGTCTTCAGAAATGCTCCATCGACCAAGTCCACGCATCCGGGCCTTCGAGCCCCAACTGAAGCGACACTGAGCTACTGTGCCCCGTCCCTAACCTTGGTGACCACTGCGGATTGGGACACCGTTGGCTTGGCACATCTCTTCGTTGGAAGCAGCCGTGCGCCATTGGAATGAGACACACGGGATCAAACAAGCGTGCGCCAGCGCGGTCCACCTCGTTTGCTGTGTATTTTCTCACGGAAACCGTGGGCGGATCAAGCTGCTTCACCCGCATCACCACGTCTCGACTGCCGAGCCACAATGCCACCAAGTAGTCGTTGCCGCAGGTGGCGTTCGCTACGGTGAACTCCAACTGGCACAGCCACGGTGTTCGCCACGGTGTTCCGGTGCAGGTCCGGATGGCAGGCTCTTCTCAGTGTTGGAGCCACAGGTGACAGTGCATTTTTGAGGCAAAGACAGCTTGTGTGTGTGTGTGTGCGTGTGGCAAGACTTGTGGCCAAAGCATGCTAGATGTTCTTGAACGAATGTGGGCCCAGGTGGGCCCCATGTTTGGAACCGAAGGATCCCGAATGGGAGGCCTGCATCAAGTGATATTACCTTTTCACCTCTTGCAAGCAATCAGGGATTGGTAGGGTGGCGACTCCTTTTTAGGATCTGCTGCACACTTGCCTCCCTGCAGTGTTCCAATCCCGATGATGGTGAAGCCTTCGGAATCCGAATCATTCTAATCGGGATCTGTCCCAAATCCCAACCGTTCGGTTGGCGCCAGAAGGAGAGGACATGAGGAATCTCCTGCACCGGTGTGTGCCGCGCGTTCGGACCGGGCACCACCTGCGTAGGGTTCCCATAACCATCATAGACCAAGCTGGGCTGCTCCTTCGGATCCCACCTTGGTCCAAAAGTCACACTTGATAAATGAGCGTTCAACATGGCGATCAACGATCAACGTGGAAATACGTACAAAACGGGCTTTCAGGACATGGTTCCTCTAAAAGGGGCCATTGTCCATGTCGTTACCCATGGGCAGTGTGCCATCAGCATCTGTGACTGGTTGACTCTTATGTGTATGTTGGTGTCAAAACCTGTGAGGCTCCCCCATCAGGCTTTGCTGTTCATGTGTTGCGGGGCAGTACTGGGGGCACGAGCACGTTGACCCATGGCATTTTCTGGCAGTTGGCCAGTTGGCCTCAATTGAGGGGACTCCTACAGCATCAGGGATGGATTCCCATTCATTCCCTGCTCGCCCCTCTTTTTTCCGGTGGCCTTGGCGGTCGAGATTGGGACACTGAGATGGAACATTACTGTATATATCATTCCTTTGCAAAGAATGCATTGTTCAACGATGTCGAAGCTTGTCCCAGTGCATCATTCAATCATGTGTTTGCTCGTCTCAAAGGCAGGATTGCAGGTAGGGTTAGCTGGGCTTCTGACGGCTATGAGGCTGATGAGCAACTACTTCAGCAGCCCACCCCCTGTGTGAACATGAACGACAGCCTAGGGGTAGCCGAAGACATTCGCATCAGCCCAATGCCATCAGCCAAATGCCAAGCGACATATATCCTTTAACGCCCCAATCCGTGGTCACTGCCTCCATCCTCGTCCCAGTCCCCAGCATGTCGCCGGATGGGAACCTCCGCTGCAAGTGGCACGGTAGCGTATGTGGCGTTTGTTGAGGAGCGCTTGACTTTTCTTGGAACTATCTTTGAGGTCAGCCGAAAGGCTTCATTACCCTAGTTGTTGGACAACTCCATGAAGATTGGAGGGAAAATCTTACGGTAGTAGAGTCAACAATATCATCCTCCAAACCCAGCTGTGATGCTTACATGGCATCACTGCGGACCCGCACTTTGGCTGTACCCCACAGCTTACTCTGGGAGTGAACCCTCAACTCCATTCCCTGCAGAACATCCAAAGCAATCCACCCTGCTAGGTTCGGTTCACCCCTCCAAAGCCCCCCTAATGGGTTCACGCGGATCCGCCCGCGCGGATCGAGCCAAAGGACTGCCATTGGATGGTGATGAGCCCCTCGGCAGATTCCACGCGCTGGACCAAGCAAGCGCCCTCCTGGTGACCAAAGGAGGGTGGATCGCATGGAGAGGGGCACTGTAACGCGCGAACTCGATCGCAGGGCACACCATTTCGTTTGCAGCTGGTCCTTTGGAAAGGCTGACCTGGGTCTTTTAATCTATATACTGCTGTATACACAATCTCCAGGAGCGACTTCTCTGCGTGTGATCATGTCGTTCTCAAACAAGACATTCAGCCATGTCTATCCTCCTCGGACCAACATGCAAGTGGGTCCACACTCAACCTTTAAACAATATCCCTCTCTAACAAGATTGTTCCACTGACATGCTTCCATTTAGTACCGTTCCACAAATCATGTTTACTATATAATTATATATATGTGATTTTATATCTCTATCTTCTTTGCTTCCAGCTTCCCTAATGAATCACCTTCCCAGCCTCCAAGAGCAACACCCCCCCGCCGCCCACACGCACCACAGGGCCCAGAAGAATCCATCGTCCCAAGTGGGCGCTCCGTGGGTAGCAGGCCAGCCCAGAAGTAGAAGGGCTCTGATGGGAGGCCCTGACCATTCACACTGGCGCTCAGTATCCTCCGGGCGGAGCCGCGCGAGCGCGTCGGACATCCGCACTTCGAAGAGCCCAAGGTTGGAGGATGTGGGAGGATTCGCAGGGCCATGCAGCGCCTGATCCATCACAGATGGCTCTATGACTCGGCAGCCGAGACACATTGTGCTGACAAACACATGTTGCGCTTTTGGGATTGACCGCCACATGGATGAGGTCGACCAACTTCGATTAGGACTAGGAGGCGGTGGGGGGACTCTAGTGGTGCTCGGTGCTCTGCGCTGCCCCCCATCTCAGGAAATTTGCAAATGCCATTCCGGATAATGCCGCTGAATTTATAAGGCTGATGAGCCAGTTCTCCCGAACAGTGTACCAAGTTTTGCCCACGCCCACCGGCAGTCAAATAGTAGTCGTCATGACTTCTGGACTGTTACTTGGGAGATGACCCTCATACTTTGTGAATACCAAACACATCTAAACACTAAACAGACTGGCGAGGCTGAAGGATTTTGCTGGGCGGGCCATGTCGGCCTCCAGTAGTTCACCCGAGAATCTCCTCTGGCGATGAACGGCCGTTTTGAATGCATAAAGATACTAAGGACTTGATGCTTTGGTTCTCCATCTCAAATTTCTTGGTGTGTCTACTCTGTCGTTCAGTTGGCCGACATCAGTCCAACTCTCCTGGTGGCATACTTGAAGTCCGGCTCCAGCTGTGTGATCAGCAAACCTCGGTTGGGTTCAGAGTTCCCGCGGTCGTTTCCCGAAACCGAAATTCTACCTACCGCTCCTGTTCTCGGGTTCCAAATTCGAGTGACGCTGAATCCACTTGCTTTTGGGATCCATTGGTGCAGAATTCTTTCCCAAAAGAAGTGTTTGAATCCCAACTCGCCAGTCGTCCTTCTTGAGGGCAAGTCCACGTTTGTCTTACTTGGCTCAAGGAACCCGGGGAATGCTGTTCTGAACGTCAAAAGTATGCGAAATGACAGGGTCATCATCAAGTCACTCAAGTCGATAGAATCCGGCACGCTTCAAGGGTCGACAAGCTAAAGCTCGTCATACATCTGTAATTAAAAATAGGACAACATAGGTTAATTGATATTATAATTATGGTTACGGTTAATTTAATAACCACCATGATCTATTATTTGTAATATCATTGCATTGTTCCAGATTGTAAGTATATATACAGGAGAACTACAACCCTTCAGGGAAAACATTGGAAAAACCTCCTCATAGTCACCATGTTCATCAGAGATGGTTCCGCATGTGTCATCCCGAACACCAACGTGCCGCAAAGGGTTAGGGAGATGATCAAGGTCTCCCGGTACAGGTGGAGACTCCAACCAGCTTACTAACAGTTTGTACGGGCGATTTCTGCAGGGCTTTTCCGGCACAAAGACACACAAACATGTTAGAATTTGTTCAATGTTTTGCGTCACCACTCAACACCTGTCTGATGAACATTACTCGACCAGATCGGTGCATCATGTAACTAAACAAATCCCAATCGCAGGAAACGGAGTAGAGTCTAAACCTGTGGACTGTTTGAACAAATCTGTCGATCCACGACACGCTGGCCCAAGCCACCACGACACCGTTGGATCCAAAACGGTTCCCACCGGTTTGTCCCCCACGGAACCGGTGCCTTGATGACTCGATCTGTTCCTTCGGTTTCTCCCCCCGACTGTACTCCGTTGCGGAGAAGGGGGGCTGTACTCCGTGTTGTCCGCGGGCGAGTTCGGCACGTCGAACCTGAGCCGGGCACGTGGAGGTGCCGAGGGAGGTGGTCTTCACGCAGCCGATGGAGGTGCCACAACAATGACGTTTCGGTCACCCAGAGCACCCTTGTCTGCCGGTTCTGAAGCTTCATTTTCCACCATCCTCCACATAAATCTCCATGGAGCGAAAACAAGTGCTAGGCTGCTAGTGGAGAGGTGTCCTTGTGCAAAAGTCGCAGTTGATCGGTCCTTCAAGGCTGACCTTCACTGCAGCCGCTGCAACGTCACTAAGTGACGTTCAGTTGCACCCAAAATTACGAGTTGCTAACCCCAATTGCAAAGCCATGCTCCTTTTCCGTCCTTCTTCCCTGGTGCAAACGGACCCTGCGTGTTTGCCATCGGCGAAAGGCATCACGGCCGACCCCGCTGGTCTTTGGGCTCGCCGCTCCAAATCCACGGACGAGCGAGAACATCGTCTGTCGGTTCAGATGGTTTGGGGGGCGTAATTGCACACACCCAGAGTGGATCAGAGTGGTGTGGATGGTTTTTGGGGATTCAGATGGTTTTGGAATGTTTTGGATAACTCAGGGTGGGAGGTTGAATTCACATTCAACTGTTTGCTCGAGTCTGCCCAAAAAACCTGCCTCCTCTTCCACGATATAGATCATTAGGGAGCATTTCATGGTTATGAAACACCCAGATGTCTCCCGACCTTCAAACAACTGGCACTTGACATGCTTCAAAGCAAGTTGCCACGCATCGAACGTGGGCTCCATCGCGATCTGCACGATGTACCTGGTGATCCTGGGCGACCACCGGTGAGGGTCCCGCCGCAACGGTGGACAAGGACCGAAGAGTTCCGTGGCCATCTACCCGTTCTGGCCTCTGCTACATTGCTACATGATCAAATGCATCAACATGCTGTCCAACTGCCTGGAACATCACAAGGTCGCCATTCTTCAAGCGGAGTAAACCCATGAAGGCCGGTGCCTTTTAGTGACTCCAGGTCATACAAACAGATCTCAAAGAGACTACCTTCCACGAGTAGAGACGTACTGAATTGAATCTCAAGTGAATCCCCATTCTATTCGATCAACATGATTCTCCGTGAATCTCATGGTTGTGAATTCACTGGGAGTTCAAGTCGACTTTCAATTCAACCCTACCATGATATATCCTATTCCCTGTAACAAATGACGATGATGATGATGATGATGATGACGATGACGATGACGATGACGATGATGATGGTTAGTAAAGGCTTGTTACCAGTAATGGGACACACCCAACTCCTACCATAGCTACGGGACTTCCCCAATCCCAACCCGTCAGATCCGGTCGCTTCGTTTTCACCCGGAGCGTCGCCAGCTCGTCGGCCGTTGCGGCGCCGATCTGCCAGCGGAGCATGGCCGACTTCAGGGAAACAGCGGTGACCGATAGGATCTCCTGACGCCAAAGCAATGCAAACAAAAAAGGTCCAATCTCCGCGAGTCGTGACTTGGTGTTAGTTAAGACTTGGTGTTGATCAAAGACTTCCAAAGGGGTGAGAGAGTTTCTACTATAGTCAAGACACATTGTTATGGGGTTGGAAAGTTTGTCCAGGATCTGTGTGACCCGTTCCTTAAAAGTCATTGACTTGTTGCTGACGGTGGGGTGGATTTGGCTCCGGCTCCCCTTTTGGCTCCTCATGCACATGCAGTTCGACTGTGCACATTGCTTCCCGTTGCAGGAGTTTGCTCAAGGAATGCAGAGAGGGACTGGGTCTGGAGGAAAACATGGCTCAAAAACCGTGAGATGCCCCGAGCAGCCACTTCCTGACTTCCTACATCAACCCCTGCCCCATAACCCACCGTGTCATTCTTGCAGAACCAGGCGCTGGGGGTGGGAGGGGCATGGCCATCTTGAAATACAGCATGTTGCTCGCATCGCCTGAGGCCCAATCACATTCGAGGCGAGTGACTGGTCATGCAGGGCGCGTGTTGTGGGTGTCATCATCTATTTCGGCAATAAAACCCAAGGGCGGCTGCCTTTGGGAAGATCAATCTAGGATTTGTGCCTCGCATACTGAAACATTGCCATCTTGATCTCACAAACCATCTCCGGCCATCCCTGCGGCCACTTAAGGCTGACACGGAAGTTCAAAACGGGTTGGAGGTTCCCTCCTGCCTTCGATCAATAGAAAAGTGTGATGAGGATCCCAAAAGTCTTGCTTGCATCGCATTGACCTCTTTTCGGAAACACCGTGCGGTGCGGGTCAGAAGCCTTTGGGCACATTTGCCGCTTCTTTCCCATCCCAACGACTTCCTCCACATCCTCGAATCGTCCTCTACTATCAACTGCGTTCAGTGCATCAAATGCATTCCCACAGAGCAGAAATTGCCAGCTTCAACCGACCCACAAAAGCCACCTGGCAATCCCTTTCAGCTCCATTGGCCCGGCATCGCTTTTGGCCGCCCAGGGGCCGTTCCCGGCCAGGCTCACGGCCCGCACGAAGGCGCGGTAGTCGCGGTTCGGCGTTAAGGTGATCGTCGCCGTGTTGGTCCAACGACTGGTGAAGCCCCCGTGAATCGTTGGTCGGTTTCGCCGTGGGTGTGGCGTGAAAGGTGAATCCGATTTCGGGGACATGTTGGGGAGCTGATGAACTTCAAACAATGAAAAATGATCGATAAAAGAACATGAAAGAAAAGAAGGAAAGAAAGATAAGAAGCGAACGATTAAATGAAAAAAGGGATGGTAAGGCGGCCGCTTCCGTTTGTCATCTCACTTTGTGTTTGTATGATTTCTGATTACTTCATATGGTTTCAAAATGTCCTCACCCATTTGGATCTGGAGCCAGCCGTTTCAAGCTGTTTAATCATCAGCAGTGGTCATGGGGTTCATGTTGGCCCGTTTCTTCTCTGTCCGAGGTCCACTAACACTACAGATTTGTGCTCCATCAAGGCCAGCCCCTTCCTCTCTCCTCCCCAGCGCGTCACACCTCGATTTTCCATCGAAGGCCAGTTGGAAGGGCCCGCCTAGGCCATCATCCACGAACCTGATTGTGACAGGGAACTGCCGAGCTTCGCGGTGCCACTTGAGTGGGGGCATGAGGCAGAATCGGAATCCACTAAAGCACACAATGTTTTTGCTTCACGTGTCAATTTGCGTGATAAGTTCCTGCAAAAGTAGCCCAGAGTACTGTGCAACAGAATTTGCCTTCCCAAACAACTCACCACCCAGATGCAACACACTCTCCACACTGTCAATCCACCAGTCCTTCTTCCCCGCACAGTGCGGATGGCCACCCGCATGTGGACCATCTACCGAGGAACAGCTCGTAGCCCAAGAGCATGCGAGGATCATAGGATCCAATCAGCTGCTGTGAGAGGGTCAAATATTCGCCACCACCCACTTGTCCAATGACTTCCTGCACGTGCAATGACATGGGACCATGAACTTCGGCGACCCGTTCCAAAACGTGGATGCCGTGGAGGCGACCCGGCGACCCTTCTCCGTGCCGAAAAGAAGATCTTCGGCGAAATGCCCAGCTGGTCGTTCCAGAATCGGTGGACCTTATGAAGCTCCCTGCCTGCATACACTCTGACAAAACACATCGGAGGCGGATGGCTGTTAGCGCCGAAAGGAAGACGTTTTTCTTCTACAAGCAGGGACATGTTCCACTTCCATGATAGTGAGTCAGAGTGTACTCCAACTTGAAATCCCCAACACACTGTGTAGAGTGGTGCTTTTGGAGGCCCAGCGACGTGATGGTTGACCCGGTTGACCCCTGTTGGACAATCTGGTAAGAAGCAAGAACTTCCATGCCACTATTTCTCGACCATTATACATTCTGGCCGCCAAGGCTCTCTGCCCCTGGTGAATGTCAAACAAAAAAAACAGTCGACCTCTCAGGATGTTCACGGCATTTCATGTCTTGGGTTGTTTGGTTTGATTCATCTCCCACACCATGTTGCGTGAAACCCTTGTCCCCCCTCGTCCCGAGACCGTTCACCTGGACGCGCGAGAAGTTCGATGCCACATCCACGAAAGGCACCTCCTGCCACCGAGCGAAGAATGGCCGACTGCACGTCTCAGGAAGATCAATCAAGGCTCAGCAATGGGCGTTGAGATGGTGGCGTCTGGATGGTTCTACACTGGCTGCAATGAATGGAGGCAACACAAACTGAGCATCCTTGCATCAAATCCCCTGTGCCCTTGGTTGCAACCATGAGACCAGGAGATTTGCAAAGAATTTCACCATCTTGATATGATGTTTAGGTTTAGATCCCCACTGAAGCTCTTCTGGGAACACACATCCAAAATGTATCCCGAGAAAGGCAACCAGGATTCATAAGCAAACCTATCCGACCTATCCCCGCCTGTGATGTTCAAAGTGAAGCATTCACTTTAAGCACCTGTGTCTCTTATCAATCACATCAACACGCCTACTCCACTTGCCACCCCGCTCTGCCCACATCCACCTGCAGCAGGATCCAGTCGAAGCGCGCAGAAGTGGCGTTCCTCAGTGCCACGGCAGCCGTAGAAGTGCCGCCAGTTGTGATACAGGACGGTTGAAACGACACATGTGGATGTGTGACGTGGGGAACTGTTGTTCCATCCTCATATCCACATGAAAAGAAAGACACGTGCATCAGGTGTCCCACAGTTTTGGAATCAACAGGGATGTTTGGAATGACTTGGGTTCACCATCGAGTCTTTCAACAGCAGAACCTTCATTGGAGCTAACAAGGGACTCTCGCGCTTGGGCCTGTCCATCCCGCGAGAACATCGTCCCCTTCGCTGAGTGTCAACGGCGTTGCACTGAGGCCCGGCAAGGTGCAAACGTACCTGCCGATTCGACGGCTTCGGCGTCGTAGGCGGCGTGCAGGGGCTAATTGGTGTCCCCACAAACCGCAGGATGTTGCTACCAGGGTTAAGTTAGTGGAAACCACTGGTCATAACAGTAAAAGGACAAAACATGAATGCGAATAAATATCGAAGGATCATGCAGCTAGGCATGGAGGCGAAGCCTCAACGAAGTCTACCACCCAACAGTGCGTCTCGCTCTTCAAAGCACCAACCATCATATATATATATTATATTATTATATATATATATCATCATATCACATCATCCACAAGTTGACATCCATGCTGCTCATCCCAAATAACCCTCCCACTCCCCCAGACCGCGACCGCCGGCCGGCGCACTGCCACTGGCTGTCGAAGCCCCATTGTCCACAGACCGGAAAGGGCGGGTTGATCACCGCTGTGAGCAGATCCTAGGCGCTTCGCCACGAGACCTGCAGGGGCCTTTCCCCTGTCAGGTTACACTCGGTTTTTCAGTGGAGCAACGCAGTTCCGATTTGGAGTGGATCTAACCGTGCAGCTGTTTGTTTCTTTGCATGTGGAGTTGTTCTACCATTGGACTGCGAAGCTGCCGGCGTCATGAGTGTTTCGGAGCATTTTTGCTGTCTCGGAGGACTTTTTGACAGTGGGTGGGGGGGTGGGGGGGGCTAACTACGTCCTGTTCTGGTTGTTTCACGACAGTTGAGCGGTTACGTCGTGGTATGGTTGTTGCCCGAAACATGGACCACGGTGGCTTTGTTGCTTCGGACTTGCACCGTTGCCTTTGACGGGTTCCCTACGTCGGCTTCGGTTGTGTTTTGGTGGTCGACCCACAGCTCGTGAGGTGTTGTCGTTGTGTTTGGTGGTTCTGTTGCGGTTGGTTAGGGTACCTTGTCCGGATCCTCTGTTGAATCTGTGGTTTGAAGTGGACATTGATTATGTTAATATCTTTGATTTCTCTAGCAACTAGACACACGGGACCTCTTGACAGTTTTGTGTTGGACACGGTTCTGGACCCGGATCGTTGGACGTTGTCTTTCGAGGTTCTAGGATGTTCTAGGCACTTCTCACGATCTGTTGTACTCTTCGTGGACCATGGTGTTTTGCAGTATCCATGCCAAATGCTCCACTGGACTAAACCCGCTCTTGATTAAGTACACTTGGAGCTACCAGTTTCGAAAAAACCGTGGCAAGAGAAGGCAAGAGCCTGTGGAAAAAATTGGCAAACAGTGCCTGAGGTTTTGACTGCGTCTGCTTCGCGGAAGTCAAAAGACGCAATGGACCGTTTGTCAGTGATTTCTCTCCTCAACATACTAAATTCAACCAGTTACACGTCGCAATTCCAATGAATGTGTCTGATCTTTTTTTGAGGGGCCTCGTATTGTAAAAACCATACAAAAATAACGTCATGAATGACACACAAAACCCTGCGTTTTCCCATAATAGATTCTTCGTTTCCGGGCATGATGGAAGGTGCTAAAAACTCCAGGGTCGTTAACAACGCCGGCACCTTGTTTTAAGCTACACTCAAACAGAGTCCCATGTGGGCTCAGAAGGAAGTCCAACTACCTTCTGTTTCATGTAAGAACTCTTATGTACCTTTGCGTTGTAGCAATGCTCTGAATAGAACTACAGAAGAATAACAACCAATCTGAGTTGGGCATGGTGTAGCGCTGCGAAACTTATTCTCCAAGTTGGTTGCGGCCAAGAGACGTCAGAAAAAGGACCCCAGCCCAAACAGTTCCTGCTTCGCATCTTGTAGATCTGCTGGTCATGAAGGTTGGTGTTGGGCACGGTGACATAGCCTCACTTGAGTTGCAGTAGGCACATCCCTCAGGAAAACAGGCCCCATACAATGCGTGACGGGTCTGATGTAGATAGAATCTGATTTCTGGAAGTTCAATATATGGCTGTCTTCACCTTCGTATGTGCAAATCTCCGCACATGCAATACCCATCAAAATGAGTGTGTACAGATCCTGCGAGGCGTCTTGGAATCTCTTGGACCACCAATGGTCACACGTGATTATTCTATATCTAGCTCCAAGCAGTCTCATGGGAAGACCAAGTCCAAGATGAATGAAAAATGAAAAAAAAAACAACATGGTAACATGAACCTTTCCGTCTCAAAAGACCAAAAGAAAAGAAAACAAGGGACCCGGTGGGGTGGTAATCTGCTTCTCCTGAGAGCGATGTGACTGTCACCAGTGTGGCAAGATATTTTACCGCCCTCCTCTTACCCAGCAATGATGATCTTCCTTGCCCTCGAATGGGAATGAATCCTTGAATCGGTGAGCTGGATTTCTTGGAATTCCTCTGCCTTTTGGCACAGGACAGCTCAACCCCCCCCAACCGACAAGGAGCAAAAAACAGACCCTTGACCATTTCGTTCGGAGCCGAGCCCCAAACCAAGCAGCAGCCGAAAAGGTTTCCAGGGTACAGCAAATGGGAGGCCGTGTTCGAGAGATCTGTGAAGCCATCCACAATGCCTTGAGGTCATCATGTCGGGTGTCGAAGACTCGCGTTGAGGTGGTCGCATGCGCGGGTAGGGTCAAACAAAAGAAAGATGCGTTTAAAGGTGTGAACAAAATAATCAAGAAAACTGAGCTGAACAAACGAAGGTGTTTGGCAACAGTGTTTGGGTCGACGATCAAAGACCGGCCTCGCGGCGCGAGACCGTGGGAATGCGGTTGGAGGGGGCAATGGAGTCCTTGAAACCCATCGTTGGATCTTAGAGGTGTTTTTTTTTCCGCCCATGGCCATATGCCCATGAAGAGGCTTTCGTACCCTTAGACCTTAAAAGGTTCCTTCTCCCGGTCGAAGTAGACCAAGTCCTCTCCGGAAACCATGGGTTGGGTACGACATGGTCCATTCCAACCTTCCTACAGACCTATGTCCAAACTGACCATCCTTGCTGAATTCAAAGTTTCCCGCACACTGCCGAGTAGCCATTCTGGTCTGAGGGCACTGTTGCGATATGCCTCATACGCAGATGGATGTCGCCAGCTCACGTGATGCCGTGATGTCTCGTTGTCTCTGGCCAGTCAAGTGTACGTCTTTTTTGTTGAAAAACCCACGCTCTGAGCCCAAATTGATTCTGCAAAAGGAACACCATAGAAACTGTTCTCAATGAACTTCCCCGCCCACGTCCGGGATGGGGATTGTTCTTGATTGCTTCAACCTGCTCTGAGCAAGCTGCTGAGAGCTCTGGTCACCTGCATCAAACATGAGTGTTTGTCAGCTACAGCTGCAGTCTTTTGGGACACCTGATGTATCTTCTTTAAGAGGACTTTCTGACAGCGGATGATTTGCAAATGACTCATCCAACACAAATCACCTGCTGGTACGGGTTGGATCATGGCTCTGCACTGGGGCACTGGGGTTCCCTTTCACCACACGTTCGCTGGGACTCTCCCTGGGATTCCGTTTCGAGCCGTGCTGGGCCATCCCTGTGCTGCAAGGAGGCCATTCGGACGAGAAAACGCTGCCGCCGTGCTGATCGGCCGAACGGACCCTGCAGGGGACCGGAGGCAAATTGGATTGTTCGAGAATGGTCAACGATGAAGACTTGTATCTGAAAAACGGTTTCAGATTATTCCAAGGAAGCCTGTAGCCAGATCCAGGCAAAACCAACCATTCAATCCTCAGCATATTCAGGAATGGAATGGAAACTCCGATCAACCTCAAGCTACCTACACTGGAAAGAACTTGGATCTCTTGGAGTGGATTCCGAGTAGAGGTGATGGAACAAGAAAAATAAAGTGTGGCGTAATTTATCATTATGAAACCTGCCCCTCCAACCGTGCCATCCCAAGAGTCTTCTTCTGAACCGGTCTTCGCACGCCCAGCGGCTCTTCGTTGCGCCAAATCTCGAACTCCTCGACGGGGCAATCCCAGGAGGTGTTCTTGGGCGCTTCGAACTCCAGTCGGACGCAGCCCCTGATGTCCGACCTGCCAGGCACCGGGATCTCTTAGGAATCATAGCCACCCCATGCCCATCCCCATGATGCAACAATCAGCGTAAACCTGTCAAGAAAATCCTAGAAACCATCAACTGTCCACATGTGGCATTCTTACTCCAGGTTGACAAGAATGTTTGGGGCATGAATCATCTAGAGTGATGCAAGAACAAGGAGAATGAGGCCCCTGCAAGCAAGTGCGTTTCCGCTGTTCACGTGGCGTTAGGGTAATCAATCACCAGAAGTTGTCTACTGGTCAACACAGATGCCAACTCAGCGAAATGATTTTACCAAAATTTACCAAGCTCATTTACCATCGCCGATCGATACCTCCAAAGAACGCCCTGTTGCGGGTGTAGAACGAACTGTTTGGCCCTATTGCTTGGTCCTGACCCGGCACCTCCCCCCTCGGAGACGGCGCTTTCCGTCCTCGACGGACCCACGATCGTCCGTTCTGGTACGAGGTCCGCCTGGTCGAACGACGTCCCTCTCCCCACCTGTCTGGGAAGAACTCGGCGCAGGGACTGGGCCGGCTCACACCATACTTGGCCGTGGCATTGCACGCCGTCCAGGCGATGCTCATCGTCGGTGGTGTCGCCAGAAGCTGTAAGTCGTTCCAGCGCCTTGGAGGTTTCGGGCAAAGACCTGGCCTTTTTGGTGCCCTGGAATGAGAACATGGTCGGGGTTGAGAGATGTTTGGGTTCACTTTTGGCCATCTCTTCTTCAGAAAAAGTCCCCCGCTTTGTTGAAGTTGTTCATTGCATTCCAGTGGTTTATGGAACGGCCACGGCGGACTGCCGGTGCCTGGAACAAAACAGCGGGTTCCAGGGGATGTGAGGATTTCGGTCTGCCGGAGTTGTTTGGGTCTGTATGTGTCCTTTCCAACCGACCAGGTTTTGGACCTGCCTTTTGGACCTGTCCAGAAGCCAGCCAGCTATTTCATTGTTCATCCAGTCGTTCTGCCCGCTCATCTGTCATGGAAAAGCCAGGATGCAGGATCATTTCAGATACGTTCTCTTCTTCAGGATCCTCGACCAGGTAGATATCATGAGGGTCCTGCGCAGTGGGGGCAGGCGGGATGTCTTTGTGACCGGGTCTGGGTCAATGAACGACACCCCCCTGTGGGGAACACCCAACGTGGCCACGCTAATCTACTGACTCTCAATAACCTGAGGAAGAACTTCAATCAGAAAAGATTGCAATCAGACTTCAATCTACTTTGGGCTATGGGACAAAAGGCCGACCCTGGCTGACCTCAACAATGAACCAAACACTCTGCCGAGCTGATTGGTCAACGGTCCCAGGTTCTGACCCTCCACACACTTCGGTTCATCTTCGCCGGTCCAAACCCAAGAGCTTGTAGAAGGCGTCGCTGGCAGTGACCACCCGCAACGCAGTGGTGGTTGTGGTGGTCTGGCGGAGGCACCACTGAATCTACCAAGGGGTGGAGGTTGGAGAATAAATGTCCAAGATCTGCCACACAAACATGGAATGACTCTGGGGTGTGCTGGAATTCCATGAGGCTGCCCAAACAAAGGGCATCGAAGCGTAAGACCCTCATCAAACATGAACATGTATGCGCTGGTGACGATTCAGTGGATCAGGTATTCATGATTTCTCCTTGTGACTTCTTGTGTGTATCCGGAGAGTGTCCATTGAGCAACGTACAGACGGGACCATCTCTGGCATCACGGGGTGATGCACTGGACGGGAGAACAGGGAACTCCCATCCTTCGCGCCCAGTGCAGGAAATGTTCCACCATATCACCATGTGGTCAGTGTTTGTACACGCATGAGTATATGACCATGTCAATGATTGCCCCCAAAAAACGACTTGATGTGTCACAGATGTGTCACACACTTGGGAATTAACCTATCCACTAAAGCTCCCAAAAGCTGGATTGTAGTTGAAGCGATTGAACCAGACCCTCACGATCCTTGACCCTCTCTCCATCTCACGCCTCGACCTCCATCCACACGAAGCCAGTGACCACGGTGGTGGTCACTGTCACACTGGTCTCAGCACGTTGCACGCACGGCGGCCGCTGAAGACGAAGAACCAGCGGAGCGAGGAGTAAGTAAGAACGGAAACACAAAGGAAGAGAGGAAGCTCCCAGATTATTTTTGAAGAACATGATGACAAGGATGTTTACCTCATTTCACCTCACTTGACTCGACATGAAGTTGCTTCAGAAGTTCCTTTGATCTCAAACATGGAATTTGCCCGGCGATCAATGGCTTTTGGACGAAGTTTTCGGAATTGATCCGCCACCGAAAACGGGCTAAGTCTGGACCACAGGGATCCGAGCTTGGCTTCCACACAGATCGGACCCAAAAGAGCGGACCCAGCGTCACCAACCCAAAGACCAACTGCAAAATGGTTTTGAAATACTTATTATGCATTGATGGGGCCTTCGGTCATGGAGGTCATAATTATATAAGCTGCTATTGTTATTTGTAATCGATATGTTTTAACAAGTCGCACCATCGATTTCTCGCAGCCATATCGTATACCATGCCAATTAATATAGTATGTAGTATAAATATATTCTCAGCTGCATCCAAACGATGTCTTCCGTCTTCGATCGACTCCTTTGGACCCACCGCGCCGTTCTGAAAATCCGGCCAGTTTGGGAAGAGACAGTTGAAGCCCCGTGGCTGCGACGGTGGTGTCGGTGGAGACATTGGAGCTTTGGTTCAAAAGCAGCCACCAAGGCGTGGGCTGCGCCTGAGGCGCAGCGCGGGCGCAGCGCCGAAAGAAAGATCGAGTCGCAGGGTGATGATCTTTTCGCGGATTTCTTACAGAACCAATGGCGATACATGAACCAACAGGACATATGAATTTTAGAGACGGAATCAACAGGCCTTTCAAAAGTAACGAATCTAGGGAGTATACCCTGCTAACAAAGATCTTGAACTCCCATCAAAATCTCTTGGAAGGGTTTGGGGTGAAGAATTGGCCGCTCCTGGCTGTCGCATCTCACGATGGTGTAGTCAGAGGCGCTCTCGTCGTCCCACTCATCGATGCCATTCACCGCAACCACGCCTCGGAGCGGAGAGCCAGTCGCGCCGGTGAATGGTAGATGTACAGTAGGAAGGAAGAAGCGGGATCACCACTGGAAAGGGATTCCCTTTTTTCTGACCCACAACCCTTTTTTTT